TATGAGTGAGAGGGACGTTGGTCCTAATAAATTTATCGGGAGAGACAGATCAGGGATGCGTATGCGAAGCAGGAGTCCTGGGAGAGGACAATTTGGCGGCTGGGATTCCAAGCGCCGCTTCTCCCCACCTATTTATAAAGGTGGTCAATACGGTTTTGGACGTCCCCGTCCTAAAACCGTTGTGGAGGACCGAGTTATGATGAATGGCTTTAATCAGCCAGGGCCAGGCCCTGGCCAAGGCCCACATGGCTATGTACGTAGGCAGTTCTCAAATGGAGGATACCGGGGTCGGTTCAGAAGGTTCCCAGATGGCAGCGGGAATCGTGATTTCAGAGGCGTTGATCGCCCCTTTCCTCCCGGTGATGGTAATGACTATCCAAGTCGCATGCACAACAACCGGGTGAACAATAGGAGAGAGAGAAGCAACTCCCCTCCTGTCTTCAGGAGATTGAACGACCCTCAATCACGGTCCAGGTCCAGAAGCCGTTCCCCAGGCTCATGGAACGGGCGGAACAGATCTCCTCCTGGGTTCAGGGGTGATGAAAACAGGATGGAGAGAGTGAGGTTGCCTTTCCAGAAACGGTTTCCGCTGGATCAAGAGATGGGATTCATGTCGCCGCCAAGAAACCAACGAAACTCGAGGTTTTTCGATGGCAGAAACAATGATGCTGGTGGGGAGAATCATCACAACAACTTGAGGGGAAGAAAATCGCCACCAGGAAGGATGTTTAGACCAGAACAGAGATTTGACAACAACATGAGAAGAGTGAATTTGGAGAACAATAATTTCAGACCATTTATGCGCCATAATAATAACAATAGAAGGTTTGTTGATGGTGGTGGAAGCCGAGGAGGGTGTAAATATGAGGGAGTGGAGGAGGAGAAGAATGGGAACGGGAACAGGTATGAGATGGTGCATCGGCCTCCTCATCCGCCTCGGCGTTTGGAGGCAATGGAAGAAGACGGTGATGACATCCGACGGTTCAGAGTAAACACAGAACAACAACACTCTGTTGTTTCCAACAACAATAACAACATCGAGGCGTCGTAACAAATAAAATATAAACACTTTTGGGTTTTGATAGATTGTCTTTTTCATCTTTTGGGATGACACCAGAGTTTTAGGGGGATGCAGAAGATGCCTGGTGTTTTTCTTCTTGTTTAGGGTTTAGAGTTTCCACAGGAGGGCTTCTAGATTTTGTTGCTGTGTTTATTCACTGCTCTCTTTTCCTTTCTTGGAAAGTAGTTTTGTAGAGTAAAAAAATGAAATCTTTCTGCAGTTGCTTTTTTTGGCTAAAGCTTGGATGCTGAGTTCTTAACTTCTTACCATCCCAAATAAATTTATCACGTGTGTCTTTGAAAGATGATGACGTATGTATCTTATTGGGACTTCGACGCAAACTGGAGTTACCACGTCCAATAAACCTCCATAATATGAATCCAAAGCTCTAAGAACTACGAACCATGAGAAGTTATACCAAATTGCAGAACGAAAAGGTTAAAAGTGGAGATAGTGGAAACATGAACTGGTCCACTACAGTGAAGAAAGAGCAAAAGACAAGCTCTCTTTCGCTTATGTATTAACATGTTCATTAATAAACGATGTGATATATCCACTGTCCATCTTTTGTGATGTAACTGCGAGTATCAGGTTGTCAAATTTCTTTAGTATAGACGCCAAAATTGAGATTTTAGGAGTTGAGAATGTAACATATGTATAGGGAGGGTTGAAACCAGAAACTCAAACAAATTTCTTACCGAGCAGATCATTTAAACCGATAAATTTGTTTGGGTGAATACAATAGACTCAGAAAATGCTCCTGAGGCCATTTCTTCAGTAAATGAATCATCTAGAATATTAGTAAACGGTATAGATACAAGAATTAGTGTTTGTATAAGTGTTATGTACACCATGTGGACTGAATATATCCAAAGAGTATATATATACGAACACCAATATTCATTTCAAACAAGAGCATGATTGTAGTCATGGTAATGGAATGTCTTGTAGATGAAGTGTGATAGCCACTTTGAAGCTGCAAAACTTAAAACAGCCGCCACAAGCACTGCAATTCTAGCCACATTCGACATTGTGGTTTGCTTCATCACGGCCATGACTCCGATCATAGCAACGGATGCGATTTGTAAGATCACCTCTAGCGCATTGAGATATTTGTGAGCTTTCTTGCAGCTGCTGCAGTTCTCAACATGCGACCAATACCTGAAACAATTATGTAGGCAGAAAAGAAACACACAACTTTTATCGTTAGGATGTTTTTTTTTTGATAATAAATCGTTAGGATGTTTAGAACTAGTTTTCATTTAAACTCACAAGGGAGATAAATCAACCTGTCGAAGAGCTGTTCTCGGGGAGGTGTAGGAGGAAGAAGAGATGGATCAAACTTTCCTCTCCAATCGACTTGAGCCTCGCTGTACTTGTTAAACCATCTCCTGAATGTAACCACATTAGCGTCGGATTTTGTTGGGATAAAGCAAGCTTTTTGCCAGTTTTTAGGGCCTCTCTCCAGTATCTTCCGCTCCTACAAACATTCCGTTACAAGATACAAATAAGTCCATTACAATGGTACATTGATCAGCCTCTACTCAGAACAATGTGTGTATTAGATAGATTTGGAATTACCTCTACATGAAGGAGGTGTAAATCTGAGTCTAGAATCGTGTTTTGACCAATGTGAAACACCCATCTCGGAACAATCTTATCAATAAATACACCAAAATTCCTCGGGAACGTCCATATCAGCCTACTGCGACCTGGGCTGACCGGAATACATATAAAGATCAAAGACAATCTGCGCTTTGACAATGCCGCCTGGATACAGAACCATATGGTTAGGTAATTAAAACATGCGACTCTAAACAAGAAAATCTTGATACATGTAAATTTTGCTTAAAAATTTATGACCTTGTCAGATGCAGCTGGTGCGGGATACTCGTGTTCCTGCTCTGGTAGAGGGTCTGTGGAAGACCGATAAACACATGGTGCAATAAAATTAGAATAACCCCATTCTTGTTTTGAAAAGAACCCTTTGCTGTCTAGTTTTTTAACGTTAATTTCGAGTGGTTTCCCTCCTTCTCTGTCAATCTTCTCTGCAAGGAGAGAGTCTGAAGGTTGGTAAAAGGATAAAAAAACATATCAGATAGACTGTTTGAAAATGTCAATTATTATTTGCCTTTTGGTTTAGAAAACCGCATTAGTCCATAATGTGCATAGGGAACATGAGCCGGGTCCATGAGGTTTTCCACCAAGACATCATACCTGAAAGATTTCAAATTTACACAAAAACATGAATGGAGAATTTACACACATAGTTGAAATGATGTAAAAGCCAATAGCAGCCGGGAAATGAAGAAGATACCCGTAAGGAATATCGCGATTCCCCATCAACTTAGTGAATGATGGGTCTTCTAACTCTGGAATGTAAGGAGGCTTGTTGGTTTCAATAATGTTTTTGTACTTTGGATCACTGTTTGGCCAAAACCAAATGATCTCATGCTGCACAGTACTCGGATAAACAGCTACACAAGCTTGCTTGAAAGTGTGGACCTGATTTGCATTACCAAATTTAATCATTGGTCCAACCAAAGGCTTTGACTTTATGTTCCATATAAACCATCTCATTGCTAAACCAATCTAGTCCAAACAAATCGTCATCAAAATCTTACCGGAGGTCCATCAGGAGGAGCTTGAGGAATGAGTTTACAGTCACCGGATCCATTAAAGCACCATCCATGGTAAACACATTGCAACCTCCCCCATTGATCAATCCTTCCATCAGACAAAGGAGCAAGACGATGAGGACACGTGTCATCCATCACTTTCCATTGTTTCTCGTTCCTATCCCACCAAACCACCAAATCAATCCCCATAACTGTCTTCCCATGAGGAACCTTCTTGTCAAGATCGCAAATTGGCATCACTGGGTACCAATTAGCGTACCAATCGAACTTATCCGACCCGGATTCGAATCGGGTCTCAGAATCCGGCGACGTAGTGGTTGATGATGTTGGTGACGATACTGCGGTTGTGAATCGAGTTGACTTGCCGATGATAAGGGAATTTGAAGAAATGGGTAGTCTTGGATTGGAGAAGGAACATTTGAATCTTGGTTTCGTTTTGAGAATTCGGAGCGATGGAAGAGCGCATGCAGCAAGAGCAGCTTCCATGGCGTTGTGTGGTGGTGACAACCGGAGAGAAGAAGAAATGAAAGTATTCGTTTTTACCCATTTTGTAGTATTTTTATTTGATAAATTTATAATCCAACGGTTCAGATTAAATTTGTCAAAGAAAATCGAATTCTAAGCACATTTTTAAGTTTTTTTTGAGTTAGAAGAAAGATTAAATTTGTTACGCTTCTTCTCGTCGTGCATATCGACTTATATCAGCATTGCATTGCTTTCATCATGTTATGCTTCAATCTTAAGGTAGCCCGTTTTTGCTCAAAATCACAGTTATTCAATGGCCCAAAGTATTAATGGGCTTAAAGAAAACAATACTTTTTTGCCCATTAGCAAAGCAAAGACAATTTTTAAAAATTCTACAAATTTCTTACGCGTGCTTGCATCAACGCATGTTTTCTCTAGTGAATTTTTTTTTTTTTTTTAAATTTCAAACTCGAACGCTTTTATTAGACTGATAAGGTATGATCCTCATGGAGGATTTGTACAAGATATCTTGGAACAAGAAAATGAGTTACAAATTGTGAATCATTTGGAATAGCCTCTTTGGCCAAACGATCTGCCGCCTTGTTGCTATCCCGTGGTGTCCATTTAATCACCGAGCTTGTAAACCGTTTTTGCCAAGATTGTATCTCCCGGATCAAGTTGTGCATGTCAAAGTTTCTTGTGAATTATCTAGCCAAATTTTAAAGTATTCTAAGACTGACAAATATTTCACTTAGATCAAGAGATTGTGTTTGGTGCCATGTGACTAGCTTTTTATGGACATTAAAGTGAAAACCAAGTGATAATATTAATGGGGAATTGTATATATCATTTTCTGGTTTAATGAAAACTAAACCGGTTAATTAAAAGAGAAAGTGTCGGTTGAGTGAATAAACGACGTCGGTTGCTTGAACCAAAGAAGCATAGAAAAAGCGAGGGCATAAGAGTCATTGCATGGGATCCCCACCACCGAAGCATCAGTTTCTTCAATCTCCCACGTCTGAAATTGAAAAATCGAGAGAAGAAGATAAGCACAATCTGAACACCAAGAGTTGTTTCGTGCAGTGATTTCTTAGAGATCTAGTAGATTAGAAGTTGGATTTGTTGAAGAAAAGTGAATTTGGTACGAGTCTTTTGGTTTCCTTCTTCTCTGAAGCTACTATAGAGAGAATCTGCGTGCGAGCTCAATTTCATAGGAATTAGGGTTCGTGTTTCTTGGTAAAGATAGAATCAATGGCGGAGGTTGTTCTGCACATATACGATGTGACGAACAGTGGATCGGAGAAGACTAACAACACCATTGTTCAGATCAATAGGTTCTTCAAAGACGGGATCGGTCTAGGCGGTATATTCCACAGCGCTATTCAGGTACTTCGATCTTCGTCTTTAGTCTATCTATCTACATCTCCACATGTATCGATGATGTTTTGGTTATTGTTAGTCTGTATGTATGTGGAAATGGAGAATTTGAAGACATGATATATTTGTTTTCATCTGTGAGGCTCTAATTTAATGGTTTATGGTCTCTGTAAGATCTTGAATTTTCGTCTCCACTGATCTCGATTCTCGGGTCTTCTAGTAATTTTGGAAACTTTGTATGGGATAATGGGTGCGATAAACTCAGGAATGGCTCTCTGGAGACTTGTCATAATCAATGATATAGCTAGGTTTACTTTATTCTTCTTTGACCTAGGTTTCCAGTTTCCATGTTACTATTGATTCGCAGGGAATAGTGATTGAATAGCGTATCTTATGAACTTTGTGCAGGTATATGGAAACGATGAATGGTCTTACGGGTATTGTGAACAAGGAGGAACTGGTGTGTTCAGCTGTCCTAGTGGCAAGAATCCAATGTACACATATCGTGAGAAAATTGTTCTTGGCAAGACAGATTGTACAATCTTCTTGGTAAATCAGATCTTGCGTGAGCTCAGCAGGGAATGGCCTGGACACACTTATGATTTGCTGTCCAAAAATTGCAACCACTTCTGTGATGTATTATGTGACCGGCTTGGTGTGCCAAAGATCCCAGGTAAAGCCATAAGTTGGGAATCAGAGTTTTTGTGTGTGTGTGTATTGTGTGTTGGTCTTCAAAGCTTATGTTATAGCTTGGGTTCTGTCTCTTAACAGGTTGGGTGAATCGTTTTGCTCATGCTGGCGACACAGCCTTGGAAGTGGCAGGAAACACAGCAATGCGGGTGGGTTCTCTCTCATTTTGCTCTGCACACGCTGTTTCTTTCTTACACCTTGAATGCTTGTGGATGTTAAATCCTTGTGAATTGTGATGTTTGCAGGTAAAGCAAGCCAAAACTGAACTTGTGTCAGCTAGTAAAGTGGCTTACCGCTTCCTTTCAAATGTTACCTCGAACATAACCAATGGTTCGAATGGCCCCAATGGCTCCAATGGCTCTCCACAACGGCCAGGAACTCTCAACAATTCAGACAATGAGAACTTTAGATTGCAAGGTAGTTGGTTGAAAGGTATACTTAACACAGCCAAACCCTCCACAAGTACAGAGATAGGGAACAAAGAGGAAGATGCAAATCATACAATAGCGAATCAGAAAAAGCAAAGCCGTGACTCTGATGTTCTACTATTTCAGTAGCAACTGTACTGATCCACCGGTTAACTGTGTATATCCACCTATCTAAAGTTATTCATTTGTATCCATTACTTTGTACCACCATTCGAACACACCTCTCTTTTTTTTTTTCTCTTTTTCAGCAGAATGTGTGTTTTTGTTAAGAAGATATTTTCAACACGTTGTTACTACTTACTGGCAATACCACCAAGCAAGTTTTAGCATATGCATTGCTACCGTTCAAAGGGTTTGTTAAGAGAATGTGATATAAGATAAGCAACAATGCAAATATGAAAAGACTTCAACATGTATGATAGATACAACTCAAAATGCGTCTGTAATATTACAGAAAACGAAAACAGAGTATAAGGTCTAACGTCAAGAGAAAAACAACAGAGCATTCACACCAAAGCAGCCGAAGTCAAATGTTTATTTTAGAAACCAAATGAGGACAAGTCGTGGCATTTTGTCATCCCCGGAACATCCCATTGAACACAAAGGCGTTCCCGTCAGCATTTTCAGATATCTGTAGCGCCGAGACAGCCTGAGCAGCAATCAAATCAGCTGATATTCCCATGTTGTTATCCCAAGCATTTCTCGTGAATGGCGACCAGTTACTATCTCCTAGTCCATAACCATTTGACACAAACCCAATCCCTTGAACCGCATAGCTAGCACAACTCTGGCGAGGAACATAGTTGGTTCTTTCATCTCTAAACAGATCAATTGTGAAACCCTTTTCTTCACCAAGTATGGCCCGAGATGAATCATCAGAATCTTCGCCCAGTAGGACGTGCAGAGCGACAGCTTCTGCAATTGCAGCTCCTTCTTCATCTAACCTCTGTTGTTCTTCCAATCTCTTCTGCTTCTTCTTTTCAAGCTCAGCCCGGATGGCTGCAGAAGTAGCAAGAGCTTTCTCCAAACGTCTCTTTTTCTTCTCAGCTTGTTTGATACGATCAAATTCATCTTTACCATGTTTCTTCCTTGCTTTCCTAACGACTGGCTGAACTTGCTTGCACACCGTGTGATCCATTATTGCTTGACTATAATTCTAACTAAAATAACTGCACTAAAGTCGATGATGTCGTAGAGTAACTCAAGAACTACACCCACTCTGGTATATAGGAATACCTCATGGTGCGGACAATACAATCCCAAAAAGAAACAACAGGCGACAACCGAAGAGAGACGTTATAAGAATTAGCAGACTTATTCTTTGGAATCATTCGTCCAACATTCCCGCACCCCTTAGACTCGCCCATTTTCTGCATTCACAATTACTTGGTAAGTTTAAAGTTGCAGAGGAGTAACATCAGAATCTTATGGCCAAAAAAATAGCATTCAAACTTGTAAAAGCTAACAGTTGTGGATGCAAAATAGACCAACCAAGCAGAGGCGATTGTTCTAAGGACCTCAAAAGACACAAAAAGTCGTAAAGAAGTCAAACAAAATCAGCCAACAATTTATATAGATTGAAAACAGTCAACAACAGCCCAATATGAGAACCTAAAACTAATGGAAACCCTAAATTTCCAGAGTAGGACCAAAGTTTAAGAACTCATGTATAAAATCTGCGGGTACAAAGGGCATCCATCACAGAAAGAGTCAATTATACGGCAAATTTCACGAGCAAATTTCTTAATCCTCAGCAAATAACTCAATTAGACTAATGGATCAAATCACACGAAACCAGATCTGCCTCGGAAACCAATTTCACATCAAAATTCAACCTCAATTCAACAAGAATAATAACAGAAACAATCCACCCACTAAATAGGTTTAAGATCCATAAATTTGCATAAAATCCGAGGAAGCTAATAAAAAAAAAAAAGACTCTTAACAAAATAAGTCAATTATATTGAAAAGATGGTGAAATTGGATCCAAACCTCTGCAATATGGCATAGAAGCAGCTGCCTTTCAAAGAACTCCTTCAAATTATCGTCGGAAAATAGAGAGAGAGAGAGAGAGAAACAAAAACACAGAAGTAAAGTTGCTGGTTTGATGCAGACGAAGAAGAGAGAGAGGAATTTCGAGAGATGGATGTATATTAATTAAAAAAAAGAGACGAAGAAGAAGACGAGAGGGAGGATAATAGAAGGATTACTAGTACAAAGAAAGAAACGTAGCGTGTCTTCTTCTAATGAAAAGATGACACGTGTCGAATGGTGTCTGACTTTTTTTTCAAGTGTAAGTTTTCAATTGGGACTTTAGGACTAGGCCGGTGCGACTTCGTCTACTCCAGTATTTGTGGGTCCCATCTAGGGCTATTAACAGCCGTTAGATTGGGATGTAAAAAATATCGAATTTTTTTATGCGAAACACCAGACTGTACAAGTGTCGTGTTACCTTACATTATTAGTCCAATAAAAGCTTTACTAATTTTCTTAAGTAAAATATGATATGGGGCTTTATTTGCATTCAAAGTTTATCAACTTGACTTTAGCTTTGTGCATTCAACCCCTAAAATGAGACTTTGAACTTTGAATACAGTTTGATAATGGGATACAAAACCTTGTTCAAGCAATTTAGACACACCGAGATCACTCATCCACCATTAGATTGATCTTTCATCCAAATCGTGTGTACGTGACCAACTATAACTCACCGGCTCCTTACTTTGTTTAGCCCACCCTTCATTTTTTTTTCAGATTAGTTAAGGTATTTTGATATCTTTTCTTATTTACAATCTAAAGTTCTAAACGCTTACTTATTTAAATAAATTAACTAAAACAAATGTTAAACGAAAAAAGGAAAATAATAAAAAGGAATTGACAAGGAGCAAGTAAAGTAGCAAATCCGCAGGAAAAGTGAGGGTAAAAGTGTCATTTCCACCACCACCGCCGCACCAGTTTCTTCTTCATCTCCTACGTCTGATTCTGAAATTGAATAATCGGGAGACGAAGAAAGATAAAAGGGTCTAATCTTGTGCTTTTAGATTCATTTTAGGAAAGATCTAGTAGTTGTTGGATTCGTTTAACGAAAGTGGATTTGGTACGAGTCTTTAGGTTTCCATCTTCACCAAAAGCTCTATATAGAAAGAATCTGCGAGCTCAATTTCGTAGGAACTAGGGTTCGTGTTTCTTGGTAAAGATAGAATCAATGACGGAGGTTGTTCTGCACATATACGATGTGACGAACAGTGGATCGGAGAAGACTAACAACACCATTGTTCAGATCAATAGGTTCTTCAAAGACGGGATCGGTCTTGGCGGTATATTCCACAGCGCTATTCAGGTACTCCACTGCTTCGATCTTCTTCTATATTCTATGAATCTTCATGTGTAGATGTATTGATGATGTCTCAGCTTGGTTTTTGTCTACTTTGAGTAGATTTGGTTTGTGTTTATGTGGAAATGAAGAACTTGACGGCATGATACTTTTGTTTTGATCTGTGAGGCTCTAGTTTATTGGTTTATGGTCCTAGAGGTCTGGAGCTGACGTTCTCTTTTGCTTCTCTCCACTCAGGATCTTGTGTTTCCTAGTAAATTTGGTAACTTTTCATATGATAATGATTGCGATATATATTGACAAAGTGCTCTCTGGAGACTTGTTAAATTCAATGATGGCTTACGTTTACTTCATTGATCTTTGACCTGGGCAAATATAATTGCAATTACCACTTTCCCATTTGGTGGAGTTAGAAATTACGTCTGTGCCAACAAAACTACCAGCTCTTGACTTTAGGTTTTCAATTAGTGCTAATCATTCTATGTTCTTAGGTCTGTATGTGTATGTAATCTCATTTGATTATTCTTGTTCATGGTTTTGTTATTTTCTAGTATCTTTTAGATGACTATTGATTCGCAGGGAAGAGTAATTGAAGGGCATATCTTATGAATATGTGCAGGTATATGGAGGTGATGAATGGTCTTACGGGTATTGTGAACAAGGAACTGGTGTATTCAGCTGCCCTAGTGGAAAGAATCCAATGTACACATACCGTGAGAAAATCGTCCTAGGAAAAACAGATTGCACAATCTTCATGGTAAATCAGATGTTGCGTGAGCTCAGCAGGGAATGGCCAGGACACACTTATGATTTGTTATCAAAAAATTGCAATCATTTCTGCGATGTACTCTGTGACCGGCTTGGTGTGCCAGAGATCCCAGGTAAAGCCATTTTTTGGGAATCAGAGTTTGTGTCTGTGCTGTCTTCAAGGCTTATGTGACTGCCTGTATTCTGTCTCTTAACAGGTTGGGTGAATCGGTTTGCTAATGCTGGTGACACAGCCTTGGAAGTGGCAGGAAACACAGCGATGCGGGTGGGTTCTCTCTCTTTTGTTTTGCTTCTCTGCAACATAAATGCAACATTATGGGTGTTCAAATCTTGTATGGGATTTTGCAGATGAAGCAAGCCAAAACTGAACTCGTTTCAGCTAGTAAAGTGGCGTATCGCTTCCTCTCGAATGTTACATCGAACGTAACCAATGGCTCCAATGGCTCTCCTCAACGATCGGGAACTCTCAACAATTCAGACAGCGGAAACTTGAGATTGCAAGGTAGTTGGCTCAAAGGCTTACTTAACACAGCCAAACCCTCCACAAGTACAGAGATAGGGAACAAAGAGGAAGATGCAAATCATGCAATCACCAGTCAGAAGAAACAAAGCCGTGACTCTGATGTTCTACTGTTTCAGTAGCAACCGTACCGATCCACCACAATGCATTCGGTTAGCTGTATATCCACCGGTCCAAAAGTCACACGCACTAGTCTCCTCGTCTGTACCCATTACTTTGTATCAACGCTGGAATCCATCATTTTTTTCCCTGCGTTTTTAGCTCAAATGTGTGCTTTTGTTAAGATCATTCTCGGTTGTTACGGTCATATCTTAACATCAAAAGGTTTATAATTTCAATACACTAAAAATTGTGATTGAATTTGGATAGTCACGTGATTCAAAAGGTACTATGTATACAACTTAGAACGCACTTGTGAATGTCACAGAGAGAAATCAGAAGATAACATCTTTTCAGCTAGTCTTAACATCAAAAGATAAAAAAAAAAACAAAAAGAGTTTTCACACCAAAAGGGCTTCTAGAAAAGAGAAAAAAGCTGCGGCTCCTCTCATAGCAAACACTTTTTTCTGCAGCCAAATTTGTCACCACGGCTTTTGTCATCCCTGGAACATTGTTTCAAAGACAAACGCGTTCCTATCAGCGTCCTCAGATATCTGTAGTGACGAAACAGCCTGAGCAGCAATCAAATCCGCAGATATTACCATGTTGCTATCCCAAACATCCTTCATGAATGGCTTATATGACACTGACCAGTTACTATCTCCTAGTCCATAACCATTTGACACAAACCCAATCCCTTGAACCGCATAGCTAGCACAACTCTGGCGAGGAACATAGTTGGTTCTTTCATCTCTAAACAGATCCATTGTGAAACCCTTTTCTTCACCAAGCATGGCCCGAGATGAATCATCAGAATCTTCGCCCAGTAGGACGTGCAGAGCGACAGCTTCTGCAATTGCAGCTCCTTCTTCATCTAACCTCTGTTGTTCTTCCAATCTCTTCTGTTTCTTCTTTTCAAGCTCAGCCCGGATGGCTGCAGAAGTAGCAAGAGCTTTCTCCAAACGTCTCTTTTTCTTCTCAGCTTGTTTGATACGATCAAATTCATCTTTACCATGCTTCTTCACTTTCCTAGTAACTGGCTGAACAACTTGCTTGCACACCGTGTGATCCATTATTGCTTGGTATAACTCTATAATTCTAACTAAGTAAAATGCACTAAAACTCGTTGTCTTAGATGATTTCAAAGACTACAACCACTCAGGTATATAGGAATACCTCATGGTCCGAACAATACAATCCCAAACAGAGTCAACAGGAGACAACTGAAGGGAGAGGTTATAGGAATTTGCAGACTTATGATTTGGAATCATTCGTCCTCCTTTCCCATACCCCGTAGACTCTCCCATTTTCTGCATTGACGATTACTTGATTAGCTTTTAGAAGTTGCAAAGGAGAAACACAGAAGCCATGCCACTTTATTCAAGGTACTTAAAAAGACACCAAGTCCAAAGAAAGTGGTCAAACATAAATCTAACGATTTCAACAGTCAACAACAAGGCAAGATAGAAGATACATTAAACAAGCTAAAGCCTGATAATTTCAATGAAGTATTGAAGCCTTAATCGCCAATAGTGCCAAAAACTTTTAACATTCAATTATTAACCCTCACGAAACATCAGTTAAGACCAAATCACAGTGCATAAGAGACAAGATCGCTGAGAATTATTAAGTAATGGATGAGCCTAGAAGCAATCAATCGACAGAGACAAGATCTGCCTCAAAAACTCATGTTGCATCAGAATTGAATTGTCTAACTAGGCTTAAACCCATAATTAACCATTAAATCTGAGGAACAAATGAAGCTAATCGAAAAAACTTTTCTCGAAAGAAGTCAATTCAAAAATCTATGGAAATTGAAGATAAACGGATCAACAAGATGATGATGAAGATGAAATTGGATCCAAACCTTTAGAAAATGGCATAGAAGCAGCTGCCTCAAAGAACTACTCTAATTTAATCGGATAATACAGAGAGAGAGAGAGAGAGAGAGAGAGAGAGAGAGAAACGTAGCTTTCTGGATCCAGAAGACTCTATAGAGACGGACAGAACATGAGATAGTTCAAGAAACGTATACCGACTTCTTGTCTATCATCCAATCAAAATAAGCCACGTGTAAAATTATGTTTAGAGGCAAATTTTACTTGCAGTTTCCTTCCTTTGGGTCTTGTACACTTGCACTGCTGAAACCATGTCTTGTCCATTAGCTTAAATTAGCCATCTTTATCTCGATTTTTTCACTAATTCAAGTTACGTTCATATATAAGATCATACTGTATATTTCATGTGGTTCGGATGGTTTCAAATTTGTAGATTATATTGAGTACTTTTCATATTTTTTATTATTTAAAAAAGATATTATAAGTCAAACTAATAATTTAGATTTTAGACCTTCGTCTTATATCCAATCCATTTATGTACCTTATGGCATTTTCTCTCAGCGAGTGTAATAAGAGGATTAGTGAGTCTTGCTTGCATTAATGTTTTCAGTGGACACAAGCTTTAAAGCTTTTAAGTGTCGTTAAGACACGTAGCAAAATACTCCCTCCGTTTCAATTTAGTTGTCGTTTTAGGATTTAAATTTGGTTTCATAATAGTTGTCGTTTTAGGTTTTCAATGCAAATGTTTGGTGAAAATTTCAGTTTTATCCTTACTGTTTTAATGTTTTGGCCAATGAAACTTTTTATAAAATATATTAATAAAGGGTAAAACAGAAAATTTAATGTTTTTCTTAATTTGTGTGAAAAAACCTTAAACGACAAATGGAGGGAGTATTAACCTATTTGTCATTTGAAAATGGACATTGCAAAACGCGTGGGTGTTTATTTATTTTTCGTATTGGGATAACACATCATCGTCATTTTGGTTAGGTTAAAAATAATAATCGTCATTTTGGTTGGTGGAGTAGCCACAAGACATATCATTCGTCCACGAATCAATCTTGACTTAACAAAAAAATGTATAATAAGGGAATGTGTAATGATGGTTTGATTAGTGTGTTAACGGTTGTTATTGGAGTTTGCTTATTCGTCAAATACGTACCCAACTTCCTATTTGTGTCGATAGAAAGTTACCATCGACTTTTCTATTGCACTTTTGTGTCCTTATCTAATTATTCCTCCACGCCACCTCATTCTTTCTCCCACTTTCCCCTTTTCAATTACAATTTTAAAAACCTGTATTTGGTGGACATATGACTAAAATGCGAGTCATGAGACCATAACATATCTTTCGGTGACCAAACACGTTTTATTAATTCTCAATTCATTTTAAGATAAAAACACATATTTGTATACAATAAACAGATAATTCTTTTCCTTATCTCTTGGGATTTAATTGGATAGTGTCGTGGGAGTGCACATAATAACTTCCACTTAATTAGAATTGGTGAGCATGAAGAAATATTGTGATGCGTCCACTTAGTGAGATATATTGGACAGGCACGTAACACGTAACACGTTTCAATAACTTTACATTTAAAAGTCATTTTCCTTTAATGATCCCACCCGCCAAATAATCAACTTTTTATATAGAACTCGACCGGTCCATATTTGTGTAATGCCTTAAACTATATAATCCTCTCTACTACGTGAAAAGTTAATTTTGTAGAAAGTGTTTATGTAGGTGACTCTCAACCATGTCTATTCTCACAATTTTATTTTTAAAATAACATTGTTTTATATAATATAACCAGAAGTGTCACAGGAAAATATTCATTTATCTAATACAATTATCCATTAAGTGAATGCTGCAATCTTTATTTATTTTAACATATATAGTTCAAAATTATATCCTTACACGCAAGAGGGCGTCTAACAATTTCCACAAGATCGCGAAGAAGCTGCCATATACTGTGAACGTAAGCTTATAAAATGTATATTATAAGCTACGTAAAGAGGAAAAATCCATAAACATCAATCTATGTAGATGTCATTTGATTTATCAGATAAGAAATATTTGACTTCATGAATATTTGCTGGTTGCATACATAAGCGAAAGATTTTAACAACGATTCTAGTTTTATATTCGGGTGTCGACGTGTCGTTTACGTTTATTTTTAATGTCATTGTTATTAATTAACAAAACAATATGCAAGAAGAAATGGACAATGGGAACGAAAACATGTAATGGTTTGAATTAATGAAGTCAAACGTAATTCAGTCCGATGATTTTGGTTTCGTTGGTTTAGGACGAGCAATAGGTACAGCTTAAAACCAGTGTCAAGCTAGTATAATGTTTTTGATGGATTTTTATACAAATGTGACTTTGATTTTGAAAATTTATAAGAAATTGATATTACAAATCATTATTTTTTGTAAGTTCCATACTCTAGAATTGTGATAATATATAGGTCACTCCCGAGCATAGTGAATTGTTGAGTCTAGTAAATTATAACTTCAACATATATAGTTTTATCAGTATGTATTTTGTTGTTATAGTAGCAACGACAAACAAACAACGTAATATGTCAATCGTCGCTACAGTGCTTACACGCACAATTGCAGGAAATAGAGGGTAAATCAAATCAAAGGCTAATTATATAATTAATTAGACTATTTATATTTTTTAAAAATATTCATTAAAATCAAAATCGGCATATAGGATTTATCAACATAGACCGTCTTAGGATGATCATAAGAGAAGACAAAAAAACGAATTTGGGATTTAAAACTTGTTTGAAGTCAAGAAGTGGACCCGGAACCGGAGACCTTTTTGTATGATTTGATTCTCCGACTAATCTCCTTATCTAACTCTTCATTTCCTCCAACTTCTTCCAATTCCTGAATCACCAATCCAAACACACGCATAATCAAATTAGTAAAAAGGTCAACAACATGAAGAAGATTAAGAAGAATCAAAGCAAATCAAGAGACTTGCCTTGGGTCCAAGAAACAGTCCATATGGTACACCATTGAATTTGTCTGTGTGATGTAACTGAAACATTTAATCATTAACACAGAAACTATTAAATCACAATACAATAAAATATGATTATTAAGAATATTAATCCTATTTTGGGAAAGGAAGCGTTGTATTAATGTGATGGTTGACCAAGGTAAGTAGTTTACCTGGTGAGCGGCGGCGACCTTTCGGAGGTAAGGGACGTCGGCGATGGGACCTACAGGGAAACGCTTGTGCACCAGACCATCGTGGACAAACATGTAGGCGATCCCAAACACCGTTATTCCTAACCCCTGTTTCAAGCACGAGACAAAGAGCTAAATTAGGCCACCAGGTCATTTGTATTAATACAACCAAACAAAGTCATTTTGTCATCACATGATCTAATTCTTTATTAAAATATAAATACAGAGAGACACAAAATCCTGCAACATAGATACGTTAAATTAAATTAAATTCGGTTTTAACGTATGATTAATCTCAGTCAGTCCACTAGTATTATTTTATTTTCCAACCTTAGGGACCGATAAAAAGCCACCAAATTTTCCTAATTCTGGTGGTTAATTAGTGTTTAAATTAATAAAAAAAACCGACCTAACCATAGAGTCAAAGATGTTGGAAGTTGGTTTGTGAGTTTTAATTTAGTAAAGACCAATGAAAGAGGGACTTACGGCGCCAAAGCAGAGACCAGGAACGAGTCCTTTATTGAAGAATCCGTAAGAGAGGAGACCAATCGCTGGAACAGCGTTCACTATAGCGAATACATCGTTTAACTCAAACGGTCCTTCTCTTGGCTTGTGATGTGACTGCAAACAAACACAAAGACCCACAAAATTAAAAATTGGATACTGAGGATGAGAATTTTCATCAAAAAATTGAGCATGCAAGCAACCTCATGCATATTCCATAGAGAAGCGTGCCAGAGAGCTCTATGAGCCCATCTTGCCCAAAATTCCATACCAACCTGAAAAATATCCAAAACTCGAGTAAAAAAAATCCCAGCCAAAATTTGAGATGAGGTTTTGAAGTATGAACTTACAGCAGCACCAACAGAGAGAGCAAATGTACCAAACATCTCCAACATTGAGATCTCACCTCCCTTTGATTTCGCAACCAACAACAACAAAAAAAAAAAAACCATGTGAGATTTTGGAAGATCAATTTCGAATTTGGTTTTTGTTTGTTTATTTTTAATTACCTCCATTTGCCAAGAGAATCTGTAGTAAACAGCCATAACAGCCATGGAAGTGATACCAAAGCTTGACAACACTGCAGCGATTAGATAAGTGGACCTCTCTGATTTCTTCCTTTCCAATTTCTCCGCCAAACGCAACGCGAGATACTCGGCGTCTATGGCGGTGGTTGAGCTCGTGCTCTCCGGTCGTTCATCGTTCTCAATCGGAGAATTCTGTCTTCGCTCCTCCACGACGTAACAGACAGAAAAGCCTTTAAATCGAAGAGACGGAGAGAATCCGGATAAGGATTTCGGGTGGCGGAGGCGGAAATCGGAGGAGAAAGAGCGGTGGAGAGGTTTGAATGTAACGGCGGTTGAGAGTCCTGCCGCCATGGAAGTAAGCTACCTGTTTGAGGTTAACCTTTTTATGCGAGCGAGAGAGAGAGAGAGATGTGGTGTGGTTTTAAATGCAAGTGAGGCCACAATTTTTTTTTGGTCTTTGGGTAAGTTATCAGTGCTTTTTATGCTTTTTCAAAATCAAAACTTTTGTGAATTAAAATAAGCAATTAACAAGTGAAGGACGGTTCTGTTTCGTGTGATTAAAATTGCCCTCAAATATTTTTAATTGACTAAATCTACCCCACCCTTATATCTTATCGAATTTACATTATTACCCTCACTCTAATTAATTTATTTTCTCACCCTTGATTTTTTTTCTGTTTGTAGTCGGTTAGTTTTTTATTACTTGAAGTTGAATTATATAAAAAAAAAAAATTCTTACTATTTGATTAGATTTTTTTACTTCTATATAATTGAATTTTTGGATTTTTTTCCAATTTAAGGCCAAATGTATCTACTTAATATTTAATTAATTAATTTCTAAACTTTTAGTACATATATGTTTTATAAACCAAATTAGCATTATTAGTAAAAGCCCTATTATTTTCCACACTTGTCTACAAAGCTAACTATAGATTAAACTCTTTATTTTTTTAGTATGAATCGCATCAATTTAATTTATGAATGACAAAATTTATTAACAACAAAGATATTTGTAAACCATATAATTGATTATTATTAATTGGGTATTAATTTGAGGTGATTTGTTAATAAAAGTAAGATATAGCAAAAGTAAACGTATGTTTAAATTCTAGTAGATTTTGGATTCGTTTTCCAAAGATAGTAGATTTTTTTTTTGTAAGGAGTGTGGATATGTTTAGGACGCTACATCACTACATGTGGAGACTTGTGTCATGGTTGTCATAGTTCCGTGTATTGCGTATTTGCGTGTGATATAGTATTGTTTATATCCGTTTGTTCTAAACGTCATTTGTATAATTTTCGCTATCATGATGAATAATAATGATGTAATTCTAAGATGTGTTGGACTAGTCCTAAAAATGTGGGTAGAAATGGCATAAACGTAAAATCCCAGAAACAGCGATGGTGAAAGACAAAGAAACAAAAAAGTTAGGCTCCAAACCAGAAAGGAATGCAACAAGTTTACAAGCTACATCCATTTATGAGGCTGATGCCATATGGGCTTTTTCTACGTGTCACATCACTATTCGCTATGACAAATCCTCCTAGTATCTTTGTTTTTTTGGTTGTTATAGAATTATTATTACCTAAAAATTTGTTAAGTTTTCTTATATACAATAATTTTTGTAGGGTCTTTTACAAATATTCTGGATTTTTAGAGACAACTATAACATTCTTTTTAATGGTAAAAATCTAATTTAAAAGAATTTTTTTTTATAGACTTTAATTTTGCTTAAAGCACCTAAATTTACCGGGCCGGCACTAAGTATAAATTATGGTTTGCATTAAGAATGACCGGATTATTGCTAATATTTCAATGAAAATGTTGCATCGTATGCTCAACTTGAGCGACATTTTGTTTATAGGAAACATATCACTAGCTCGAAATTTGAGTGCATGTATAGATAAGATTTTTCTATAGAAACTGAATGCAGATAAAGGGAGACATGCCTGCTTAGACAATATACTACTACTGCACCAAGTAGTTGGGTACTTTGAATGGAAATAACTCTGGCGCTAATTAGGAACACATAGCCCCGCCCTGCGATCATGAATTTTGAAGAGTAGCATGTTTTGCGTACCTACATCAACCTCTTCTTAGATAAGTACTCCCATCTGAAAATACATCTACAAGACTTTTAACATTCAGTGTTTGTACCCCACATAATTCATATTAAGAAATCAGCCCATACCACGTGGTTCTAGTAAGATTGAACAACATCAGGGTGGTTTACTCTTAAGAGATCCTTGGAGAGGGAAATGAGTAAGCTATCTTCTTTACCACCCAATAACGAGGGTATCAACGAGCCTTTCCTAAATTCAACATTTTGGTCCTTGCACGCGGAATTTTCACTGTTATTGTTTACTTGGTCCATTGAAAACAAGAAACAAAACTTTCAGCTTTAACAAATAGGCCACAGAAATGCATGTTGTGCAGGAGGAGAAACAAATAATACATTAATCGATCCTGGTATCTTCCACTGCATAATTTATTCAAGAAAATGAAAACTCCGTTTTCTACAAAGCTCAATAGGATACTTGTTCATTCCAATACTCTCTTTACAAAAGGCACAAGAGAAAGTGATCTTAAACTAACGAACCAAAAGAGCAAGACAAATAAATAAACTAAACAAATCGAAATCAAAGCCAATAAATGCTAAAATACCATAGAATAAAGACCACCATACAAGGGTACACAAAAAGAAGACACGGTTCAAGCATTCTGACACATTCATGATCAGAGAGTAGCAGAAAGAGCGTTGTATAAAGAAACTAACCCAGGGACACTAAGGACATGATCAAACCACTCAACTTTCCCCCAAATTTCACAAGTATTGCGCCTTTCAAGCGAAATCTCGGCACAGCAAAGCATCTTCCAACGGTCGTAACCACGGTTCCACAAAACAACGAGCTTTCCACCATAATCAGCCAATCTAACAAAAGCATCCGGAGATAACTCGGGTAGTCCTACCAAACCCTCCAAATTTCTCCACGTTCTTACCTCAGCGTGATACCATCTGAACACTCGGTCAATAGCACACGAGTACAAAACATTATCAACCACGCAAAAACATTCAGCAAACATAAATTGACACATGGTTTCTCCAACCTCCTCCCAGCTACCTTCCACTGGATTGTAATCAACCACCTCTCTCCCAGTAACGAGGTTGACCTTTCCGCCAACACATGTGCTTAGGAAGATCTCCTTGCCTTGTGCCACACTGCATGGGATAGGCACCCGAGCACTTACTTGTGTTTTTGTGTCCAACACCGTGAGCGAGTTCTGCGTGGAGGAATCCGAGCCATCTTCTAGGCATATCCCTGCTACATATATCTTTTGATCAAGGACACTAACAGTAACTGAAAATAGCTCCACCGGCAAGCTTGGAGCCTGGCGCCACGTGTGAGACCGGCAATCCAGAATCCAGACACTAGAGGAGGACGCTTCGCAGGATCGGACCACGCCAATGTTATAGATATCAGAACCAACCGCCACGAGGCTATTATTCTGAGACAAAGGAGAATGGGGAATTGGGACCCTTGCCAAGACATAACCACTTGACTTGTCCTGCTCCTTATTACTACTGGTTGTTCGATCAGGTTTCCGGCAGAGGGTGAACCAGCTAGGGCCGTTTTTATAAGGATACATATTTATGCACACATAGAGACGACTCTCCCTGCGGCCCAAGAGTGACCGGGCCTTGTAAAGCCTCGGTGAAGCCAGGAGAGATCGAAAGCTCTTGGAGACGAGTGAGAGAATCGGATAGAATAATATTGGGACGCGTGCGATGATGAGCAATAGCAAATCATCGGGAAGTGACGGATTTGGTGTCGATTCCGGCGTCGACGGCGTTGTCTTCCTCTTCTTGTTCGACGACGACGTTGTCTTCCTCTTCTTGTTCGTTGTGTCTCCGCTGATCAACCTCTCCATTTCTTTTACTTGTTTCTTTGGGGATCGGCGGCGGAAGAAGACAACAGATTAGGTTAAATATTTGTTGGGCTTTACATGGGCCGGCTTTGATAATTTTTAAGTAAAAAAAATTTAGTTTAGTTTTTTGCCGAATATTTTTAATGACACGTAGTATTATTTCGGTCAAGAGTATTTTGTGTGATGTGGCAAAAATATTAAAAGATGTTTTTTCTCCAATCAACCCGCTGACCAAAGAAAGAGCAAGCGACGTCGTATAGCTGATGATTTTGTCGGTCACGGAAAAGATTCATCATGTCTGTGTCTGGCTTTTGCGAAAGAATTGAGATTCGGATTGGGGGATGCTCTGCTAATGCCTTTAGGTTTCAAATGTTTCCAAAACAAAACAAATCAACCAAGTGGCAAAATTTCAAGGATAAGATGCTGTGATAAAATACCAAAAAAAAAAAATGCAACGTTGATGTAGGAGGTTTTGGCGGGAACGAGGCCATTACTAATGTTAATCCTGATGATGATAATTGAGAGATGATCTCTGGGATTTGGGTCATTGGGTGGATGTACCGGAAATCAGTCGTTTATGCGGGATCCGGTTTAGTGTGGTTCAATGGATAAGCTTTGAAATGGGCAGGCAAATTTTAGGATTCTTATGAATGAAGTCAAAGAGGAACCGAGAGGGTGAATTGAATTGATGAACCTTGAAACTGACGAGAGTGAAGCTTTTTTGTTGGGAGAGAGAATGAGATCTGAGTTTGTTTCCTTGTTAGAGGGAGATGGGTTACGGATGGGGGATCTACGAGGGAATGCTGGTTACTGGATCTCTCTGTTTTCTCAATAGGAGGGAGTACGAAGAGAAGCAAGCTTTGGTTCGAATCATTTTCAGCTTGCAACCTTTTACAGCTCGAAATCATCCCTGTTTTATCTAGAGAGTAAGCTTTCAATATTCGAGTAGCAAGTTTTGTTTTTCTGAATTCGTTTTGCTTTACTTCCTAGTTCCTGCCTGCCTTATTGATTGTTCCGTAGCTGAATGTTAGCACTCTCGTTTGGTGTGACCTAAGAATATTCTTGTAATTGTTTAGCTCAGATGAATGAGCACTGATTCTCCTCTATTTTGTCATTTGACATAATATGGAAGCGTTGTGCATATTAGTCATTGAGCTTTGAAAATTGCACCATTTAGATTTGAGACATATCAATGAGACCAATAACTCTTTTTATCAGGTTGGAAAATAGCTTGCTACTTTCTTTTGAGATCTATTTTTGCTTTGCAGGACAAGGATGGTAAACTGGAAGGTGGATCTCTTTTGTTAGATGCTCCGCAGTACTGACTGGTAAGCCTTTTATTTTATGCCACCTCTCTTTTTTCATGTTCTTCCTTTTTCCTTTTCGACATTAAGTGTCATTTCATGCTTCCCTGTAAAATGGTTTGTATATTATAAATGCTACTAACCTACTAGTTCTGTGCATACGGTGGACCATCTATTGCTAAATCAATTTGTCTTTCAGAATTAGTATGAGGCCTGATAATTGACATTGTATTATATTTTTGGCTTAAAGTTATTTGCTGATTTTCTCATCATTCACGAGTTTCTATTTGGATTGATTTGAATGAATATGTATAAGCAATTTTTCCATTGCCTTATGGCATTAATCCTTCCTTCAATCCTTCTTTCGTTTTTTTATTAAACATCATAGCATCACATGTTACAGCAATTTATTTTTTGGCTCTTCTTAATTTTTATATATACTTAAAACCATCATTTCAGGTGTAAGAAGGGAACGTGCTGCTGTTTGTTATTCTTGACAGCGTTTCTTTATGCTTTTTCTGGCGCATGGGAATTCATTTTCCTATGCCTTCGGACAAAGGTACCTCTTGACTTTATGCACCGTCTTTCTCCCTTCAACACTGTATAAGCAAGAAGCAAGTTGATCTAAAGTTTCAGTTAGATCTTATTAACAATTTTATGAACAATGTGGAGTAGGCATATGTTGTTTTAACTTGAAATGAGCATCTGAGCATGTTGACACTGACTATGATTGCCGGACTGTAGAAAATACTTTCAGAAAAAAATTTGCAGCGTCAATCATCCTGCCTTCTTTATGCTTGTGTCTATTGCTGCTCGACAGTAGCTTTTGTATATACAAATGCTCTTGGTTCTTTTTATTTTGAATGCTTAAGATCTTGTCACCTGCTTGTTGGACTACTTTATACTTAAACACCATTTTATCTTGAAAGGTTTCTTTTCAATGCCTCAACTGGTCAGCAGAATCGGGGTCATTGGTGTGACCCTCATGGCCGTCTTATCGGGTTTTGGAGCTGTAAATTTGCCCTACAGTTATATATCGCTCTTCATTACGTACTTCCTTATATAATTCTGATTATATATTTTTCTTCTACCTTCATTTCTTGATGCTGCTGCTTTTTCTCGAACATGGAAGGGTCATGTGCAGAACTTACTTGGCTATGCGTGTTCCATTTTATGTGAGGTGCTAGCCTTCAGTAATTTTAATTCTATGTTATCCTAGCATTGCAAGACTATGCTAAACTCTTCCGCATGGACGTGACAACGGCAGTGTTAGTTTTTGTAATAGATTGATGCAGAGTTCAAAATTGAGTTCCTTTGTCTGAACTTCTATACTTCTCGGAAAGGAGAGCTTTCTCTATGCATAATGGGCATCCTACATTCCACATATATCAATTGATGGATAAAGTTATACTTTTTGGACATCTTTACTCTGTTTGGTTCTGGGAGGTGCAGTTTAAAGCTGTTCTCCGAACACAGTAATGGTTTATTAGATGAAAATGTTTTCTCTATTGTAAGTTTGTAACTGTGAACTAGTGTTCTCTCAATAGAGTATTTTCGTCTGGTGGCATCGTGAACTGGGATGAACAATTAGATAGACATAATTAGCTCTGCATGTGTCAGTCAATTGTCACTTTATTTTCCTCCGAGAGGAGACAACAAAAGTTTGGAATGGAGAGGAAAGTAAAATTAAGGAAGAGAAAGATATCGGAGCTAATGTGGACAAAAAAATATGTTAAAAAACTGCACATCATGGGAACTTAAATATTTATTCTTTGATGAGGCAAATGGTTCTGTGGATTTTATAGCATTTCATCTTCTGTGATGTAAATGGATCTACATTGATAGAAGAGCAGCTGGATTGGGAAATTTTGTGATCTAATTTCCTGTCTTTCTTTCTCTCTGGAAACATATAGGGAGATAATCAGAAATAAAATCGCTGGAAAGGCAACTCATGCAATCTATTGAGACTTGCATAGCAAAGAAGAAGAAAATTATTTAAGCATACTCCATACGTAATTGTACTTTGTAGTTTCATACTCTTTAACATTGTGTATTGGGTTAGGATTCTAATCAGATCTGTGTATATATGTACATCTATGTCAAAATGCTCTTCAGACTTGTATCATAACACTTCTTTTCCAATGCATCTGTTAAAATGCCATGGAGACAATTTTCCCACATTAGTTCTGTTAGACATAGACTGATAAGAGATATTTTATAGTTCTGCTTTTCCTAATTCTGAAATGAGCTTAGGAAGTAATCATCTGGTGCTTTTGGCTTCCAGCATCAAAAGTGTAAATCTTTCGGTAGAAGGATTGTCGGGACCGTTGTGCGGTCAGTTCAGATGACCAAAAGGAGCAAGCCTATATATTTAGTTTTAGGTGCAAATTGTGCCTGCACAACATTTATCTTCCTATGAGTGATTTTACATGTGCATTATCTTTGCGCCATTAGGTTTACTGTATGTGAAATAAATAATTTTCATCTGGTTTATGTGGGCTGGAAAAGTTTAGACGTTTCGATTGAAAATAGGTTGGTTTCTCTTGTGCACCTTACTCCATGGCTTGCTCGCCATTTCTATTAAAGAGCAGAACGGAAAAAAAGTAGGGAATGTAGAACATGGTATTAGTAAACAGACAATTAAGATTTGGCTTTAAGAATGTAAAGCACGAGAATGGTTTGCTAGCAAGTGTTAGGTGGTGTTGCGTAGAGTATAATGAGAATAAGAATGAGGTTAGGGTGTTTTTATAATCTAGTTGTGGCTATATGCTAGTATTTCAGTGGTTAAACCAACAGGATTGAGAAAAAAGAAGAATTGCAAAACAATAGTTTTTGCATTTTTCTTAGAAGAAACAACAACTTGGATGCATATCTGATATCTCAACTGCTTTTAGCCTTTTACAGAGAAATGTGTAGGAGGAAACTAGCTTTCTCTTCCAGCATGCTTCTAAGGTTATTAAAGATATTGTAACTCGAAAGATGAATGTTAATGGATGCATGCAATTTTCTACCTTTCGTCGTGGACTGTATACTGTTACTAGCTATTTTCTATCTTAAGAATGTGGAATCGAAATAGGCCTTTAACTTAAAAAGTACAATGTCGCTCAGTAGTTTTAGTTTTCAGCTCTTGTTGTCGCAAAATTATTTTTCCTGGTGTAAAGTAGACCATTGAGAATGCACAAGCGAATAAACGAACAGATCTGCAGTAAAATGTCTTTTTATTAAGCTGAATGATTCCGTCGTGATTCTGTTCTATGTCAGTAGCAGTTGATGCGATTAAGAAAATAAATGATCAAGATTACGACAAAACGAAGAGTATACTTCCGTATATTTGCAACTCTTTGCGGATGAATAGAAAAATTATCCTTGAATTTTTAACACCTATGGAATAATGTAAATATTTTTTAAAAAACTGATCATTGAATTTTTAGCTCCAGAGAGGATGAACAGAATGAGAAAAAAAAACTATGTATTAGTATATGATTCAAATGGTTAGGATCATTAATTAATTGCTCAAACTATTTTTTTGTTGAAATCGAGTATCGCAATAAATTAGTTTTATGAAAGTAGCTTCCTTGAATTATCTTTGACAGGGATAGTGGCTCAAATCAGGCCCGGCCCACCATAAGGCAGCCAAAGCATTTGCTTTGGGCCACAAAATATAAGTAAAACGTTAGGGCAACATATCTGAGAAGTTTCCTTTAGTCTGTTGGTTATTTGCCCCATTTTTGTGTCACATGTGGGTGGGTTCGAGTCTTAACTTCTATACTTTTTGTTTTTCTTTTTTTTCCCTCTGTTTTGGTCGGTTCTCTTTTTTTTTTTTCTGGTTACCACGTGTTTTATTCTTTCTATTTTGTGAAGTGGGAGAAGATTGTTATTTATTTATTATAATTTGGCTACTAAGTCTTATAATATTCTTAATTTCTTCAACAAAACTGAATTTTTATATATATTTTAGTATTTAAATGACAAATTTTTAACATTAATTTTTATATAAAAAATATATTATTTAAGTATGCTTTAGGCCACCAAAACCCGAGGACCGGTCCTGGCTCAAATGATTGCGTCATATATATCACGGGGTTGAATGTCATCCACGTTCGAATAAAAGATAACAAGAAATTCAAGTTGAAATGTTGACTGATGAATAATTATTAACTTCAAACCCTCGACTCAAAAGTCAAAATTTATACAATCTAACTTTTTTTTTTTTTTGGACAAATACAATCAACTTTTATGTTTTTGAGGAAAAAGAGCTCGATTCTTCAGATTTTTTTTGGCAACTATATTTTGACCAATAAACAACTTTTGATCACTCATTTAGTCATTAACAACTAATTCAAGTAGCTTCTATGAATAAAATACAACAGTACATAGGTGACTAAAACATTTTGCATTTTGTTTTTTTTTTGGTGCGGAAAACATTAAACATTTTGCATTTTGATTAGAAAATAAACATAAAAATGGAAAATTCATGTACAAAAAAACGCTTTTCTCTCAAAATCTATCCTCTTTTTGCTTTTCCGATTAAAATCGGATCTTGTTCCGGCTAAGTCCGGATTTGCTTTTCCTAAGCGCGAGTTTTGCGTTAGCCATCTTGGCTATATCTTTTAGTTTTATTTTGTTTATCTTTCTCTTTTGTAGTGAGCTTAGATCTCTTCCTATTTCGGAGGAGAAAAACAGATCGGAGTTTCTAAGATCATTGGTTGCTCGATTTCTTGCATAAGAGATTAAATCCTTCACACCCCTACTGGGGCCGTATGATCGGCGATGGGTGAAGGTTTCTCATTTTTGTCTGTAAATCGTGATGATTGGATTGTGATGGCTGGCATAGAACAGATTCAGGAGAGCGTGTATTGAGACTGATCTGACCTCTTGCCTTCTCACGCTTTCCGGTGCTTCAAGAATCCGATGGCTTATGAATCTCTACATCTATACATTCGAAGATTTCTGCAAAGAGTGGTGGTGGTTCGGAGAAATAGCTGATTTCGTTGGATATCCATGTCGGTGAAACCTGGATCTATTCGGCGGTCAGCTCCGGTGGTGATGGCGGTGATGATTTGGACAAAGCTTGCGGCGGAAGACCTCAGTCGGTGGAGCTTTGGAGATTCAATCGGTGCTGCTTTTTTGTCCAATTAGATTCATTACACGCGTCACACACGTGTCTTATCTTGGGCTTTTATTATAACAAATGTATCATTTTTGATATTAATGTAAAAGTTCTGGTTGTTGGGCTCCGAAAAAACCACTTGTATTACCTATGTTTTGGGTTTTAATATATATATATTGCCGACAAATAAAAAAATGGAAAATTCATGCAAATCATTGTTATTTTTTTTTGTTTTTTTTTTTAATGTAATAAATAGATTTAGAATCAAAAACAGCAATTCCCATATACGGATCCCTAATATATTGCAAACACCATTTTAATGTAAGATAAATTATTTTTATTATTTTAATTCAAAAACAAAAGAGATTCTATTTATTTGTTATTAATTGTTTCTAAAAACAAAAACAAAAACAATTCCCATATACGGATCCCTAATTACCTTTCACGAATCTAATAAACAGTTTCTATTTATTTGTTATTAATTGTTTTTTTTTTTGGCAAACATTATGAATTTCTTTCGTTTGTTTATAGAAACTATGAAAATCGTAATAATTAATTTCCTTAAATATTAGATTCACTATTTATTTATTTTTGGTAGAAAGCCACCAATTTAATGATTTATTAAAAGAAAAATAAATTTCTTACACACTAACATTTAGCGCGCAAACCCACTAATATCCTCTAACAAAATAGAGTTAACAAAATCAGGAATAACATCAAAGAAATGAAAACGTAAAGGAAGACGATTAGCTTCTCTATACACATGAGAAATACGGACTATCCAGTCCTTTGAAATGAAGTCATAGCATAGACGTACTAGGAAAGACAGCGGATGCGAATCGCTAATCCCCATCGTAAGAAAGTCAATCACGATCTCTGAGTCTACTTCAAGTTCTAACTGTGTGATCCCTCTCTCCCACGCAATGTACAACCCATAGTAGACTCCCCAAAGTTCTGCAAAGGTGCTGATCAGAACTCTATATCGCTAATCCGCCGCCCCCAATGTCCATCTCCATCTCCATTCCATGAGACGCACCATCCGTATTCAACTTAATCCATCCTCTTCGAGGCGGGATCCATGCCACAAGCCTCTCTACTCGTGTGACCCTATTCAAGTTCCCCTTTACTATTGAATGAGCCGTATACACCTCTTTAGCCCAATCTTTGAGAAACTTTACTCGATCCTTACATCTCCCCATCCCACCAAATACCTTTGTACACCTCCATTTCCACGCCCACCATACGGTTAGAGTAAATAGAGTAGCCCATGGGACTCCATCCCTTTCCATGTTATCACTAATATTTTGGTACAACCATTCCAATAATGTCTTATCAAATAACAAATGCACCTTAGGTGGAGGAGCGATACGGATCCAAACTCCAGATATTGACGGGCAATCTCTTAACACATGAAGAAGTGTTTCATCCCCAGTGCTACACACTGGACATAATCATGAATCCGAGATATGGCGCCGGAACCGTTCCATGTTCTGTTTCGAGCATAAGCTGACTTTACAGTGAATAGTCCATCTGAAGTCTCGCCCCAAACTAATCTGTCCGACGCTTCTGTTACATTATCCACAACCATCGCGGCGAGCTGCAATCTTACAGTGTCTGAGACATAAGGCATGATCTGTGGAAGAACCCAACCCGCGCCATCTCTCCACAAATCCTTAACTTTTAGTTCCTCAAAACCCGCATGTAAGCTCCCTTGTACCACCCGCAGAAAGGGCGTATTAGACAGCCATTTGTCTTCCAAAAAACTGATATCTCTTCCGTTTCCCAGTACCCATCAAAGTTCTGTAAATACCACTTCTCTTAACCCCACTCCTACACTACGCCAAGTCGTAGACCAAATACTTTTAGCAATTGACCAGACTTTATCATGAGTGTCTCCGACTTTATATTTGGCTCTGAGATTCACGATTTTACACTAACGTAATATACTTGATTGAAGAGATTTTAATTCGATTTTTTTTTTTGACTAACTTTGTTTCCAGATAATATTCAGTCATTTCTATAAGAGTAAATAGGCGATAAAGATTAGTTAGAATCCCCTAACTCTATTGTTCTTTATTTTCTTAAATTTGTATCAATTTTTGGTAGAGTTCATTTCTAATATTTTTACTTGATCGAAACAAATTTGTGTTATATTCTAAACTTAATAATTGTTTTTCTACTTGTAATGGGTTTAAAAAGATATTGCTTATAAAGAAAAAATGCTTTTCGGATAGATTTTTTAAAAATAATTACAAAATTAGTAAAATCTCTATATAAATTAATAATTCGATAAATTAATACCTCTATAAATTAATAGAATTTTTCGGTCCCAACATTATTAATTTATAGAGGTTTTATTGTATTAACTACCTCTTTTTTTATAAAACTATCATGTTTTCTGTCTTATGTTAATGAGTAATTACGTTTTTTTTATTTTACATTAAATTTTAACAGTATAGTTTATTATGTTCCATGGCTAGTTGTTATATTTAAATAACATATATTATACACTTACATTAATTGAAAATGGTGTTTCAATTTTCTTCTTCATATAATTATTTTCATTTTTCTATTATACGTATTTTTAATGATAATCCACTAATATCTAATTTATTTTAAGGAATATCTTTGGGGTGTATATTACTTATATTTTATTAAAAGTAAAAAGTAAAATATACGAGTATTAAATTATACTGGAATTAAAGCTATATTTAAAAGGGAATTTTGTCAAATGTGCCACATTTTGGGAAAATCCTAGCAAATGTACCACATTTGGTGTTTGTGTGGCAACTTTTGGACGATTTTGTCCTTCTCTGTGCGTCAGGTATGTGTCAGGGGAAGGAGCTATAGTAGACGCCGGTTGGGAAACGGGGACAACTTTGTGTCAGAGAAGGACAACTTTGTGTCAGAGAAGGACAACTTTGTTTGAAAGACAACTTTGTGTCAGAGAAGAAGGACAAAACATTGCATTAAATGCAGTTTACATTTACCATGGACAATAATTATGAAATAGAGTGAATGATGTCCCCCAAGAATAAGTCCAGATCTCTTGATTGTCCATCGCCAGATGATGTGGTTTTACCAGCCGGAGATCTGGATTTACTCGGGGACAACTTCTCTTGATTGTCCATCGCCAGATGATCTGGTTTTACCAGCCAGAGATATGAATTTACTCGGAGACAACTTGATCTTTATTTTATTCCGCCAGAGAGCCGAAGACGAAGATTTGGATTTACTCGGGGACAACTTTGTTTTACCAGCCAGAGGGACGAAAACGGTTTACCAGAGGGACGAAAACGGTTACCAATGCGTTAGGAGAGAGACTGTGGACGGCAGAAAATTCGGAGAGTCCCATCAACCGCAGGGTCTTGTCTCAGTAAGTTGGAGGATAGAATCGTCTTTTCACATGATGAATGTGGTATGGATGCTAAGTGGGCACAGAAAGTGGTACTGGGCCTAAACTTTTTGAAAAAAGTGGTATCGGGGCTAATTTTCCCTATTTAAAATACATTGGTTAATACTATAATATTAATATATCTTTTGTTGATGTCTGAAAAACGTGCTTTGATCATGTAATTAATTTTTTTTTTAAAAATTAACTTTTACTCCAATCGCGAGGGGAGCGAAAATATTCTAAATTGATCGATCCATTTATTCTCGGACAAAGGTTTAACATCTGATTCTTTCTCCTTCCGTCCGTACAAAACCCTAATTCTTTCTCCGTTTCGATTCTCCGGTCGATTCTCTCAGAATCTCGATTTCTCATACCATGGCGATCGAGTACACTGAGATGTCTCTCCCGGAACATATTTTGCTCCATCCAGATCTTTACCTCGGATCAACTAAAGAGCAGACCCAAACGGTCTTCGTTTATGAGAACGGAGAGATGGTTAAACGGGAAGTAAACTTTGTCCCCGCATTTCTTAGGATCATTGATGAGATCCTCATTAATGCTGCAGATAATAAACAGAGAGATCCGTGTATGGATTCTCTTAGAGTTTTTATCGATGATGAGAAAGGGAAGATATGCATCTACAACTCAGGGTCAGGAATTCCTGTGATAATTTTGGATAATGACAACTATCTACCTCATATCCTGTTTGGTCGGATTCTTACAACTAGTGTCATTCACGACGATAATGAGAAGAAGATCACTGGTGGAAGAAACGGCTTGGGTGCTAAGCTTACAAATATTTTTTCCTCCGAGTTCAAGATTGAAACGGCTGATGGGGAGAACAAGTTCACAAAGGTTTGAATTATCTGATTGCTAATTTGGCTTTTAATGAATAAATGTATTGATTCCTTAACTCAACTTTGCTGGTGATTTCAGGTTTTTAGAAACAACATGAAGGACGAAGATGATCACCTTATAAGCAGCTGCAAAGATACATTTACACAGATTAGTTTCACGCCTGATCTTCAAAAGCTTAACATGAAATGTTTTGGTGAAAGTATGGTTTCTCTAATGAGAAAAAGAGTACTTGAAGTTGCAAATTTTCTGGGAAATAGTGTGAAGGTTGAGTTGAATGGTGTCCATATACCATCCATTTCATTCACCAACTATGTTGGTTTATACCTCAATTCATCCAAGGAACCAGACCCTCTCCCAAGGTTTGCCATAGCTATTGCTCACTTTTATTATTGTGTCTTTGAAGATTATTTTGATATTTCAATTTTTGTGTGTTTAGGATTGCTGAGGAATCTAATGTTGACGGATGGGATATTTGTGTGACTTCAAGTGATGGAGAGTTTCAACAGGTCTCTATCTTTTTGGCTGCCTCCTACCTATTTTTCTTACGAAAATTGAGTTAAAACCTCACTCCTAACAACGTTTTCTGCTGCCAACAGTTTAGCTTCGTCAACTCCGTAGCAACAATAAATGGTGGTACCCATGTTGATTATGTGACAAGCCAACTCACAAACCACATTGTGGAAATTGCCAAAAGAAAAAACAAGAACACTCATCTTAAGACCCATGTTCTGATGAGCCATCTTTGGGTCTTTGTCAATGCACGGATTGACAGCCCTACTTTTGATTTTCCAAAAAGAGAAAAGCTGACTTCAGATCAGAGCAGTTTCATATCTAAAGGCAAACTCTCAGAAGAGTTTCTGAAGAAAGGTATGGTTTGCTATCTTTTTTATTTAACTCATGTTACTACTGGTTGCTAGAAGAGTTGATAAAATCGTTTATTTTATCTTTTCAATAGTGGCAAAATCTGCTGTAGTGGAGAAATTGCTTTCATTGGCAACTTTCAAACAGAGGCTTACTATTGAAAACTTAGTTGATGCGAACCACGCTGGAGGAGATCTCTCTCAAAAATGCACCCTAATATTGACTGAAGGGGACTCAGCGAAAGCTTTACCGGTAAGTGGTTTTGATCTAAAGATAATTTCAATTACTTCTCTATTTTTACCTTTAACACTCTTAATATCTATTTTGTTAAGATGGTGGGGATGTCTGCTCTTAACCGTAATCTCTACGGTGTGTATCCACTTCGCGGTAAATTAATCAACGTGAAAAAAGCTAGCGAAGCTAGGATTACTAAGAATAAAGTGATTAGGGACATCATGGAAATCATTGGTTTGAAGAAGTGTTATAACAAGTACAAAAACACCAAGAGTCTACGGTACGGGAGACTAATGATAATGACAGATCAGGTTAGTTTTTTAGTACATTCATTATTCTATATTTTTGACAGAAATTTCATCTTAAATTAATCTTAAGAATTTATTTGAAAATTATATGAATTGTTATATAAATTAAAAAAATATTTATATTGTAAAAAAATAATATATTTTAAATTACTCTTACTAGTTTGTTGTATTTTAATATTAATAACTAAAATTTAACATGAAATATATATATATATATATATATATATATATATTTAATTCACAAATTTTAGTTTAAAATTAAATGTAAAATTAATATTTAATTCACAAGTTTTGGTTATCATTCATTATAATGGTATAATTTATTCTTTTTCTGCATTTCTATTTCTCAAAAATTGTTATGTTTCGTTTTTTATTGCTTTCTTAATTTTATTTGTTTTTATTTTTTTAATGATTATCAATTGAAACCTATATGTTACTAATAATTCTTTATTGTTCAGGATCATGATGGTACTCATATAAAGGGTCTGATCATAAATTTGTTCCACACTTTTTGGCCAAGTTTATTGGAGCTTTCCCCATCATTCATTGTAGAGTTTATCACACCCCTTGTTAAGGTAAGTTTATATGCATTATCTTTAAAATTTTATTGTTTTTCATAATAATACAAATATCGATATTAAGAATTTCTCTTACCATAGGCTACACAACATGGAACCCACCGTATTGAAAGAATATATTCAAATCCTGCATACAACAACTGGAGCAAAACAATAGAGCATGATAAGTGGTCCATTGATTATTATAAGGTTTGTTTTACCTTGTAATTTTATTTAGAGAATGCTTTTAATTAGATAAAATGTTCTTGTTCTTAGCTAACTTAGTTTTTCTTATGTTTTTTTCAGGGATTGGGCACATGTACTTATGAAGAGGCTTGTGAATATCTTGCTCATATTGATAATCATACTAAGGAGTTTTTTTGGGCGGGTGACAACGATGGAAGATCAATTGATGTCGCATTTAAGACAGAGGACATTGCCGCCAAAAAAATATGGCTCGAGGAAATGGTATGGAGAATAGTTAAATATATTTGCATAATTGTTTATTCTATTTGGTTTTCTAAACTCATTTATTTGTTCAGCCAAAAGTTTATATTGGTCGGCTCAATCGGCGGATGTCGTATGGTAGCTTCATTAATGAGGAGTTGATATTCGCCGCTCAAGCGATTCTCGAAAGATCAATTCCTTCCCTTATTGATGGATTTAGACTTGCGCAAAGAAAAGTTGTTTATTCATTGTTCAAGAGAGAACAAGAAGCCAATGTTAACTTTGAAGAAAAAATCAAGGTTACACAACTTGCGTCTTATGTATCGGAGCATGCGGCTCATCATCACTGCGAGCGGAGTCTTTCTAGAACCATCATCCGTATGGCCCAAACTTTTGTTGGCAGCAACAATGTGAACTTGCTCCAGCCTTTTTGTCTATTTGGTTCGAGAGCTTCGGTACGTATTAGCAACTGTTGTCATTTGTTCATGCTCGTACATAACATGTTTAGAGCAATTGTTCTTATCAATGCTCTATTCTCTGTGATACTAGGGTGGTACACATGACGTGGATGCAAGATATATTCACACATTGCTCTCTTCCATAACAAGATTACTTATTCACAAGGATGATGATGATATTCTGGAATACCATAATGTATTCGGGAGAAAGAGACATCCAGAATGGTAAGTTTATTCCCATGTCTCAATGAAATATAGATTTTTTAATTGTCTTAAAAGACTATTAACTTGATATTATGTTATATGTTTTTTAGTTTTCTGCCTATCATGCCTATGGTACTTGTCAATGGGTCACAAAGTGTTGGAATGGGATGGAATCGTTTCATCCCCTCTTATGATCCAAGAGTAATCAGTTCTAATATCAAGCGGCTTCTTCGTGGTGAAACACAAACTCCGATGCTCCCTTGGTATAGAAACTTCAAGGGAGATATCAAACAAGTTTCATCTAATGAGTATACAACCACGGGTATATATGATGTGAATGACAAAGATAGAAGTATTCGCATCACCGAGTTGCCTGTCCACGTGTGGACAATGAATTACTTAAAGGTTTTGGAGAGATTGAAGAAACACAGTGTTATCGAGGTAGAATCAATGCTTTGTAATCATAAATTATCATAGAATTTCTGTATGCTTATTTTTGATTCATGCGTTTCTTTTTCAGGGCTACAAGAATGACAGTGATAATACGTCAATTGACATAAAGTTGTCTTTATCTGAAGAGCAGATGAAGCGTTTTCTGAACGAAAAGAATCCAAGAAAACTTTTGAGACTATCCACGACCATAAGAACCAACAACATGCATTTGCTGAATAGGTTTAATGTCCTCACCAAATATGAATCTCCCGACAAAAGTAAGAAGAACCCATCTTTCATTGTTTTTTTCCTCTCTATAAAAGATTAATTAATCTTACTATCACTTTCCCAGTCCTTGAAGAGTTCTTTGAGGAGAGGCTAAACATGTATCGTGTAAGGAAGGTATGTAAATCTGAAACTATGGGTCTTGTTTTAGTAATTAAGGCAATGGTCTTGTTTTAGTAACTAATCTTACTCGTGAATATATACAGGAACATATGGTGCAAATTTTGACTTTTGAGCGGGATAAGTTAGAGTGTAAAGTAGCAATTTTCCAAAGAGTTCTCAATGGAGAAATAAACATCGCTCTCAATCTTGATGCGGTCTTGCAAGAGAAAGGTTTTAAAAAATACGGCAAGACAATTAACGATCGCTTTCCAAGCTATGACTACCTAACAGAGGATCTGATGTCGATGATTAGAGATCCTTCAAAAGTAGATGAGTTAATGGCAGAATTAGGGGACGTGAATAAAAGACTGGGGTACTATAGACTCCTAACGGCAGAAACTCACTGGAATAATGAGCTAGATGCTTTTGATAAAGCACTTGAGGTATGAATGAATAAGTTTTATAATGCTTCACAACAAATTATTGGTCTGTTATTTGGACTGAACCTTTTTAATATTGCAGGGACTTGAGGGTTTTGGCGAAGAGTCTTCTGGATCAGAGTCTTCTGGATCAGAGTCTTCCAGATCACCGATCAAGAAGAAAACTAAATTGCAAAATGCCTGATGAGTGAGTTACATACCCTTTACTAACAGGAATATTAGTTTATACTAGTTGATCGTCTTGGAGATGTAAAGTGTTAGCTAAATTTCAAAATTTTCAGAGATTAATGACAAAGTTTTGTTCTAATAATGTTCAATCTTTTTTTTTTGTGTGTGGTAGGGAATTCACGATGGTCCGTCAGGTAATGGAAACAGCCCTGGCTCAATATATTTGAGAGTCTTAGGGCAAAAAAAAATTTTTTGGCCTATTATTATATACAAAGAGAAAATTTACCTAATTTTTAAAAATTTTGCGGAGTTTTTATAGTAAAAATTGTTATTTTAAAAATTTTGGGCCTTTTTATACATTTTCTTATAAATAATTAGGCCTTTTAAAATATAATTCTCATATTAATAATATTTTTATAAAATATTTGGGCCTTTTTTATATGTAAATTTTTTCATAAAAAAAAAAGCCCCGGGCCGTCGCACCTCCGCCCTACCCATCTGAGCCGGGGCTTGGAAACAAGCTATGTTGGATTTAGAGATGTGATAGTAGTTGCAGTGGATAAGATCGAGGGAATGCTTGTTGACTTTTGTATCCCAAGTTTATCTATCAATTAAATTACAAGAGCTGAAATCTTGGTAAGTATCTGCTAGTTGTGGAACTTGTTTGTTGGTCCTAAATTAAAAATGTTTTATCAGACTTATTTTTTGTTTAAGAAGTTAAGTATCTTGAAAACCGTATTCTTGTTGTGCGAACTCTTTTTGTGGTCTGAAATTAAGTTTGTTTTATGAGACTTTCATCTGTGTTTCAAGAAGTTGATCGCTACTTTCTAAAGAAATATTTAGTATCGAGCAGTTGAATTTGACGCCAATTGGGTATTGGACCTCCGAATCATCATCCTTTTCTTAGTGATCTTTAAATGTGTGTTTTTTTTTTGTTCAAAGTCGGTCTTATTGTGCAGGGAGTTACCATGATTTTAATAAATTAGAGATTCAATGGAACCTTCCATTTGGTATACAATTGTCATGTCTTCACTACGGTCTACATTTAAGCGAGTTCTCAAGGTTTTGTATATGAGTTATGAGCCGATTGCATAACTAGGTCTTTCTGGTCCATTACATCTGTCTGTTAATGAACAACACTATTACTTTTGATTTTTTCTACTAAATTAAAAGACTATAAGAAATTTGTTTGTTGATTTATCTGTGCTCGTATGTATAATCAAACTTTTAGGTTTTAAATCCCATGATTAGGAACTTTTAGGTTATAATCGTTGTCTATATAAACATTTAAGACAACAATTATAAGTCATGATTCCATTGTTATAAAACCTAAAAGTTCCTAATCATGGGTTTTAATTTATGTAATTAAGATAGGTGGTTACTTGTTACAAACGTGAATGTAGTCAAGAAGACATCAAGGATGAAATAACTTTGATGCTTAAAGTAAATTGAATGTGGATTAAATGAGATTAATAGAAAGAAAAAAAAAAGAGTAATTGGATGGAGATTTCCCACTCTGTCACCATGAGGGACCGATCTCCTCTGGTGTTAACCGATGGGTAATATCGTAATTTCGAAATTACCAATTCCAATATTCCATTGCCGATCGTAAAAAACAGCAACCAACGAACGCGCAGTTCGTCTGGATCCCGTCCTCTCATGGCTGTTGCAGAGACGTCGTCGATTTTCGATTTCGATTTCGTTTCAAGCTATTCACGTACCGATCCAATCTCAGAAGTCCTTGATATTGGGAGAGACTTTTGTTAACTAAGGGGAATTGTAATTGCCTTTTGCCGCGATTTTGGATTTTCAAGGTACGAGGTTTTGATTCTCATCTTCCATCATTGAAGTTTGCTAAACGCTAATGTTAAGAATTGATGGTACATTAGCCTTTTTAACCTTTCTAACCATTACCATGCTTAATTTTTTCATACCAAGCATTGTTGCTCGATATATTTTCCGCTCTTTGCTGATGCTTGTTTTAGCTTGATTTGGTACAGCTTTGGCCACAGTTTCCCGGTTACTGCAAAACAAAATGATCCAGCTTCAAAAAGTTATTACTAGGAGGCGAGGTCGAATGATCAAGCTCAGATGGGCTGAGAACAAGATTTATTACCAAAGAGGCGTTGCTTGTCGCTGTCCCATGCTATGCCATTCAAGACATCAATACCCTACAGTGCAGACAAGATTTAAAAGTAAGGGACAAAGAGAGTTTTGAAGATGACTTATTAAGAAAGACAAACTCTTCAGATTTCAACTCACCCCATGTCCAGATTTCAGCAATCCTTGTCTGCGAAAGGATATCAGAAAGGAAGAGGATCAATGGTAAAACCCAGTGGGTTTATCCTAAACAAAGATATGTTACAAGAAACAAAAACCTTAATTTTGGTAGCAGTATCCACCCAAGCAGCGATCCGTCCTTGGGTGAAATTCTAGCAATACAATCAGACTGCAAAAGAAAGATACACATCAGCCAAAATGATAAACCCTACAAGTCTTGTCATTACAACATCTCCAACTACGAAATTCATTTCTGTGATTGATCTGAGCAAAACAGCGATCCAACGAAATCTTGTTTCTGATATTTCAAAGAGAGAAGGAATGAAGCTTAATGCACCAGTTTGGGTTTCACGTATTGAAATTTCGCAGCCATCGTCCTATCCCGAACTTTTTTTTAGTAAAAGTAGAATTTGTATTAATCTGTGTAACAATATTTCTTTCAGATGTAACAATGAACAGATGCAAATATCAGAAACAGTTGGAATACCTGCCACACGTTTGCCCATACTTCTTTGTTTATGTACTCGAGCTCATTGAGGTAACGTACCTCATAGCCATTATATCTGACCGTGTGCTTATTAGTAACTACAGAGAAGAGACACCATAAAATGTTAAATCTACTCTGTAGAAAATACGTATGTAAGTGGGTTATGGGCACAAGAACAAAGCACATAACTTAAAGCAGTTTAAGTAAGACACCTTTCATTGTTCGAGGGTCCATCCGGTATAGTGTAGAAGTGCCATCACTTCCAAACAACACTTCTCCATCGGTAGCCAGTCCCCATCCATCTTTCATATGATGTTTAAATGGTTTTACCTACAGTGACATAAAATGCTTAACATAACAGACTATGGCGAGACTAGTCCATCATAAAGTGGTAATGGAATGGACACAGGGTAACTTAACTACAACAAATGAAGAAACAAATAAGAAACTGAGTCACTAGACATGAATCCATATCTCCAGCCTATTACAAAGCTCTTTCCTCTAGTTTCAAGAAACAGATTAAGCTAAATTTTATGTCTAATAAATTCTAGCAAGCAGCAAAGCAGGCTGACTTAGACGACTTGCTGATGATTAATAGCTGAGAAACCGAACTATGCAAACAAAAAGAGTATGAGAAGGATAAGACCACTACACACTTTGCTTAAGTCGCGAATGTCATATGTGAAACCCGTATTCGTCAACCATGCAACTTGAAAGAGCCTACGATAAGCAATCGGTGGATCAGAACAGTATTGTAACCATCAGATGATTGTCAGTTGGGAAATGTATGACACAAGAAGATTTTAGAAAACAGCATTACAATCAAACAAGCAGAAGATACTCGTAAAAGTTTATTTTGAATTACAAACTAGCTTAATGAAAGATAAGGCTCACCTTTCTCCAAGGAGTGTTAAACCCTCTCCAAAGTAAGAATTACCCATTTTTTCAATAACTTCAACCTAGGCAAGGGGGAGAAACAAAACAAAGTTTGTATCAAAAATCTAAATCCATCAATCCAAATAAGGCTTATCTGCATGAACTCCTATAATTGCATTTTCGATCATTCGCAATTTAGCTGTCATTTCCCACTTTTCAATTACACAGAAACCTCTTGACGATTCACTAACATGTTTGATATATAGTCCAGAGTGTCCACAACATGTTTAAACCATCAAACCACAAGATGAAACCATACCTTTCCTGTTCGTAGATCCACTTTCCTCACTGACGACTGAAATAAGAGGGAAAAAAAGCAGAATGGATCAAACTCAAGCATCCCATTGTAATTTTCAAAAAAGCAAAACAATGACTAGAGAATGTAACTTGAATCGAATTCAAAGAGTAAGACAATGCCAGGCGAATCAAATCACCTTCCCATATAGGCCAGTGGATTCGAACAGTGTATCGTTTCCCGCATAAAGAAGACCCTGCGCCGGAGAAAAACATTTCAGTAAAACTGAAACTCGAATATGTGAGATGATGACTATAGTCGAAACATAAACCTGAGTAAAGGCGTCAGGATCATGAGGAAACTCAGCAACTACTTCAATTTCATGGATTCTATGGGAGAGATCCAGCGAACCAGATGATTGGCCCCAACTATTGAATGGCATAAAGAATAGGAAAACGGCGCCGGAGAAGAGAGCAAGAGGAAGCATCATCGCGATCGTCTTCCGAGAAATGAATCGGCGGCGAGATGCAGAAGAAGCTGGAAGAGATTGAATCATTGATCGCTTCGTTTGTCTCTTATAAGGCAATCTAGAAGCCATTAAACTTCATTCGCAGTCGTTGGATTGAAATTTGCCGTCTATCAAATTTGTTCACTTTGATTTTTCGCTCTGACCAGTCTTTCTTTCTTTGGCAACGTAATTTTGAGAAATACGTTAAAAGTGTGTTTTTTATGGGGATCTTTTTTTTTTTTTTTTTTTTTTTTAACTTTTCTCATATTGATCTTCAATATTGGAAGATGATCACTTCAATACTGTTCTCAATTCAGAAGTGAATATTAGGAACTTTAATGGTACAAGCTCGTCTTCTTATTGTCACAAAGAAACCTTCAATTACCCATTAAAACATCGTAGATTTGAACGCAGCAACAAAGGTATTCAAATACCTTACATTTCATAAACAAGATAGATAGAAAGATCCACTAAGTTTTAACTTAGGACACCACAAACACAGATTTATCTGAGTTAAGAACAAAATCCAGAAGTCAAGAATTGCCAAAAATCAAACTAAAATACGGTACAAAACTTCCTTTTCGCCTCATTCGACATTGAGGTCTTACCCGGGCTTCCTCCCCCGTGGTTTCCCAGCCGGTCTTTTTCCTTTCTGGCCTGCTTTACCAGTGCCCTTCTGCCCGTTCCTACCGGGCTTTCCTCCCCCACGCTTCCTAGCATCACTCTTCATCCTCCGATCCACTCTCTTCTGTCCTTTCCCAACCTTAACCCCAACTCCTTTTTTAGACACAACCAGTTCTTTCCTAGGCTTTCTTGGCTCTGCTGCTTTCTTGTATAGCTTGTCTATCATCTTGTCCTTTGAACGGTCTGATATATCTGCTGTGTCCGAAATTGTGTTTGCCTTCTTCCTCACTTTCTCCAATCTTTTTTGGGCAGCTCGCTTCTTCCGTGCCTTGGCCTCAGCCACCTTCTTGGCTGGACGAGCATTTATTTCTTTGAACTGTGCTTTCATTGCATTAACTTCTTCTTTCGTAATGGGTTTCATTGGTTGTCTGTGCTGCTTCTCGTCATCTACAAACCATTTGGGTAAACCTTCATCTACAAACATGTGTTTGTTATATGCATCATCAAGCATCTGTTCTCTCTGCTTCTTCCTCAGCATTTTCTTGGCACATGCCAGTATCTCGGCCTTTGTGTGAACATCATCATCAGAAGATGAATCCGAGTCAGAATCTGTGGCTGGTGCAGGGACTACCTCAAAATCCTCTTCCTTCTTAGAGCTATTGGGCAAGCTCTGATCAGACAACAAGCTTGCTTTTGATGCCTTCTGCTTTGACTTGTCTGGTTTAGACAGATTTTTGCTCTTTTTCTCAATTGGTGTTTCGTCTTCACCGTCATCTTTTCCCAAGTCTCCTTCTTCCACGGCTTCTGCAAATATATTCTGACTGAACCACTGGTTGGATATTTCCTCCTTTGTTTGGACCTCACCATCATCAAGTGGTACCACAAGAGGGTTTGCCTCATCCTTTTCTTCATTCAGATCTGAATCGTAATCGATCTTCATTTCTTCATCTCCATCACCTTCCTGCAAAGAAAAAAATGTCTAGTTCAAAAAGCCTGTACTATCCAATAAAATGGGGTAAGGAATGATATAGTACCTCCAGCTTTTCAGCATGGGCCTGCCTAGCCCGTTTCCTTTGCTTTGCGCTTCCTTCTTTCTTCACCATATATCGCTCATATGCCTCATCAAAAATCTCTTCCATTTGTTCAGTGTATCTGTAATGTTAAAAATACTATTAAGATGAAGTAACTGCACAAACTTAAGAAATGTATGACGTTCTTCAAACAGCACTCTATCATCTACAAAAAGGTATGGGGTAAGCGGTCTTACTTCTGACGTTCTTCATCAGAATCTATGTCACTGTCTTTGGAGTCATCTGAAGCTCCCTCACCACGGTCTTCGTTCTCACTGTCATCAGCATTGCCATCATCATCATCGTCATTGTCAACTGCCATTAGATCTTTCTTTCCCTGGAAAGAAAAATAAATGAAAATCTTTACATCTTTACAATCTCATTAGGAATAGAATGATATGTTCAAACAATTGAATTGTAAGAACTGATGATGGGCTGAAAGGAGTATGCTCTTCAACCTGTGAAATAGCAATAAACGCTTCTTCGACTGCCATCATAAAAAACAAAATTTCACAGAGATGGGATACAAAAAGGAAGTACCTTGATAGCAGCAAGAGAGAACAATTCGTTGTCGACATAACCATCTTCAAGTACATCCATCTGTGGATTAGTCGCCTTCCGCGTCTTATCCTGGCAAAAGATAATGAATTTAGTGAAGGAAGTATAAGGTCTAAGATATCCATCACCAAGGCCACTGACTAAGACGACATAAAGACTTGATAGGTTATTATCATAAGGTAAAAAATAACCTTAGCCCTTCGTTTTGCAAGAATCTTCTTTGCCTGTTTCTTCTTACGGTCGACTGTGTTTGTCAGCTCTTCCAATTCATTGAGTAGTTTATCATCCTCATTTTCCTCATCTTCCTTTCCCACATCAGGCTCAGGTTTAGCAACTTCCTTTTTTTCAGGAGTAAGAGCTTTCCTGATTTGCATTCGCCATCTACAAGATCAAGGGAGTTTAGTGTCCATTAAGCAACTAATATAATTTCCAGACGCATGGAGCAAATGCTAAAGTCTTAACAAAACCAGTAGTTTCCCACACGCAATCCTAACATCCAAGGTTACCCGTTTACCCATTTCACACAGTGCTTTATCAAGTTGAGCACTTGAGGTTTTTCTCAAAACAGCATAGGAAAAACTTAACGTGCTAGGAAAACCGTTCTTTACGGAACCAATTTAGAGCTAAATAATTCTACAATAGCTGAAACTTAAAAGATAAAAAAGGTCCATGAAGGAGTAAGTGCTGCGGTTCTTACTTTAGGATATGCTTGAAGTCATTCTTCCCCAAGACAGGAAGATCATCGCATAGAATTTTAATCTGCCAACAGAAAAAGATAAAGTTAACATCGCGTAGAGGTCACAAATACCTGATTAGCAAAGGTATCGAAATTAGAAACAATACCTCCTCAGTCGTCAAATCATGTTCCTTTAAAGGTAGAGAGGCTTGATCATCAAAGGATATGGAAGTAACCGTGCCAAGAACCTCAAGAGGATTTTCAGACCAAATGAAATCAGCAGCAGATGCAACTCTTCTCAAAATGGACTCTCCATCTTCATACCTGTAAATAACACACAGTTATAAAAAGTTCATATATAACGAAGTAAAACAGATAGCAGATTTGCCTACCCATCACGGTTTCTCTTCTGTTTTGATCCTCCAAGCACATCCACCACCTACAAACACAAGTAGTATTACACACAAACTTTAGGGAAAATAGAAAGTTGCAAAAACCACTCCAAACACCAAATAAGTCACAGTAATTACCTTTCTCGTCGGCTCTGCTGCCTCCTTAAAGAGATGTCTATAATCAAGAAGACGGGGATCAATCTTGGCAGGGGCTAGGTATTTCAAACCCACAAGATATGTTTCTGCAGACGCTGAACGACTAGCAGGCGGCTTAAACACTTCAACCTTCTCAAACAGCTGCACCGAAAACAAAATACCAATAAGAAGAAGAACCAGGAAACACACATCCGCATGAAAGAAAAAAAAATCAGAGTTATAAACAAACAGTACCCTCCCAAGACAGTAGAGTACAGCGTTGTAATCTCGAGACCTGAAAACCTAACAGCAGAAGACACATAAAACCAATACTTCAGAAATGGCACAAGATCAATCCAAAAGAACAAATTCAATATAACAATCCGAAAGTAAGTTAATTTCAGAAGCAAACCTTGGTGATTAAATTCCCGTTACGAGCTAAGAACTCTGTGGCTAATCTAACAGAATCAATAACCAAAGCGTTCTGGCTCATAGCCTCTTGTGCCCAAGCACCACCAACATTTGGAGACCCATCGTGCAAAACCAAATTAAAAGCACTAACACCATGCTGCTCCATCACTTGCTTGATCTTCGATTTACACTCACTCCTTGTGATATCCTGCGTCATAGTAACACAGCCACGCACGGGGAGAATCGGGACAAGATCGATACCGAGAACAAGGCTGCCGACGGGAACTTTCTCGACGGCAACTTGCATCCAACCACCAGGGGCGGCGCAGAGATCGAGAACGGCATGAGAAGAGTGGAGAAGAGAGTACTTGGCGTCGAGCTGGAGAAGCTTGTAGGAAGCTCGAGAACGGAATCCACGTTCCTTAGCGAGACGATAGTACTTATCCAAACGATGCTTTCCTTTGACCTTACCCATGGTGAGATTTTGCTAGGTTTTCGTTTCGGTCCTCAACACGCAGAGACGGAGAAATAGCAATTGAGGAGGAGTAGCTAGGGTTTAGGGTTTACTCCGCCCACCGTCGTTAAGTGTAAACCCTTTGCCCCATAGAGAGGCTTTCAAATATCTTCCGATAGGCCCTTTAAACTTTTTCTGATGGGCCTTTTATACGGCCTTTTAATATGTTTGGGAAGAAGCTCAACTTTTTTGTCAACAATCTATATAAAAAGGAAAAAAATATCATTTAAATCATCAGTTTACCATTTTCGTTGGTTTAAAGCATGAATTCTGAACCTGATGATTTAAATTCTCAATTTTATGTTGATTTTCAACTTAATCACGAATTTTCGTTGACTAAGCCAATTAATACACATAGTTATCTGGCTAAACAGAGATGTCCTGACATAGTTTTTGAAGAGAAAGATGAAAACCATGTTGGTGTAGAAGAAAAATTATGCGATGGCTTCAAAATACCAATTATGCGATGATATCGTCTTATTGATCAGTTTGGCCAGTTAACGATGTGCCTCAATTGACTTTGTCAACGAGAATTCATGATTAATATGAAAATCAACATAAAATTAAAGATTTAAATCACCAGATCTGGAGTTCATGCTTTAAACCAATAAAAATGGTAAACGGATAATTTAAATGACATTTTTCCCAAAAAAAAAAAATATATACTCCATGTTTCAAGTTCGAGTAATCAAGTGGATCATTCTCGGAACTCGGAAGACTAACATCTAGACGAAGTTGGATATATTTTCAACGTTAAAGAAAGAGTATTTCACTGCGTCATTCTGAGTTAAAAAAACATTAACTTGGGATTTGCATTTTCTTGTAAGGATAATTGTTCAAAACTTTAAATGATAGACAAAAAGAAAATTGGAATTTGCACTGAATCGATTATGAAGAAGTTAAGACGATTTCTCTAATACCACACTAGATTACTAAAGAAGACAGATTTGGTCGCACCCCTCTTCTTGTTCTTAAAAAGCTAGCCGCTTATTAATACTAATTGGACAAGGCATCTTTTTCCATGAGAGATCAGAGTAAGAAACGGGGATTTCAACACTATTCCTGAAACTACAGGATTTGTTCGTTTAAACCAAAGTGAGGAAGATTATAGATTCTGGATTTGCATTACACAAACAAAACTAGAACAAAAAACAAAACTGTCCTTCCATAGTTGTAAGATGACAACAAATTTTTCAAGGGAACCCTGAACCAGATGGTGCTGCTGCACTGTAACCGCCTGCACCACGGCCAAAACCAGGCCTTCCACCACCTCCCTGCCAACACAAGCAACAACAACAATAACACAACACCCTGTTAGATTCATCAACTAGCTAAAAGACTTTAAATGAAGGTTCCAGGCTCAGTAAACTAGGAGTGATGGTAAGTGGAAGATTTACTTGGAAAGACGGCTGGAAATCAGCTGGAGCTCCACCCTTTTCATCACCACCTCGTGGGCCTCCACGGTAAGCATCACGGTCACCAAATCTGGAACGGTCTCCATCAGAGCGAGGTGGTCTGATGAAAACAAAAGCCAAAACCATATCAGAATTAGCTAATCCTTCAGACCGGACAGGTCAATGGATTAAAAGATGAAACTACCTTGGGCGATCACCATGTGGACCACCAAAGGAACGGCCACCAGGCTTAGCAGACTTCTTCAAAGTAGCAGGAACAACATCGGATGGAAGGTTAAGATAAGTTCTCAAGAACTCAATCCCTTCATTAGTCAGAAACCAATAATAATGCATCCACGCAAATGTCTCCCTAACATACTCCTTGGATTTAAAACTCTGCATGAGCTTAATCACTTGCAGGTTTGGTACATCAATCAACGGATGCTTCGCGAGATTGAAATCCTTCTTAGCAAAGCATACTCCCTCTACGAAACCAAGGAAGATAGATCATATAGTATCCACACAAATTCTCTCTCTAGACAACTGAGAACAGATAATAAATAACTCAACAGTCATATAGCAATGGATCATAATCTTCAAAAGTCTAATCTTATGAACTAATCCAAATGGAGCTGAAAGCAAGCATAAACATTTTAAAATTTCAATGCAGTTGTTTCTCACTACAAGCTAAGATTCGAAGATCCCTAGGGAAATGTAACTAGCTTAAACAGGTTCCACTAGCTGAAGATTGAAGGAAATGAAAGAGTTCATGACTCACAAACCTTTGAAAAGGTATTTGCAGATCTCTCTGCGATTGTTCTCTGAGATAATCTGATAACAAGACGAAGAAGAACACAATCAATAACTCGGATAATTTCTTCCATTGCATTAGGTAATGATGTAAAAATAGAGAAACAGAGCAGATCAGCAGAAACAGAGTCTATTACCATCGTCTTGTTGGTTGAGCTTTCGCGTAAAAGAGGCACTGAGCTTGATTGAGCAAGGGGAAAATAGGGTTTTCTGCGGATAAAGACGACGATTAGAATATATATTACGGATTTGGGCTTTTATTGGGCCGAGAATCGTATTGTAGGATTTGTGTATCTAATCTATATGTTTTTCACTCATTAAGGTTTCGGCGCTAGATTTCTACAATGCTAGGCTTAACTTTTACTCAATCCAATCATCTTACTCCGTCACTCGTCACCTAGTGAAGTCAACGCACAAGTTTGTCAGAAAATAGTGTATCGATATGTTCTTCACTCATTATGTTTTGAAGACAAAAGTATTTGGTCCCAACAACTAATGTTGTGTCCTCCACCCGTACATCACAGTCAGAGCCAATTTTGATAGTGGGCCAATAAAGCTGCTTGCATCTTGATTCAGCGATTCAAGCTGAGGAACACAACCTTAAAGATGCTGATGGATTATGTTAACTAGATTAGGTGGAAATGTAAACCTTGCTTCTCAAGAAACTTAGCTACAGCTTCCTTGTTTCTCAAACCAAACCGGATAGTGACGGTCACGGACGTCCCACAACACATATATCCCTATTCTTAATTTGAATTCAAGTTCCTAAACTCCCAGATTAAAACGTGATATACATGAATTTTAAATTTTTGAGTAAACCTTTAAAGTTAGTAATAAATAAATGAATTTTTAAGTTATAACTGCGTCAGGAAGCCAGCTTGGTCGAGACAAAAATTACTTGTTAAACAAAAATGTTCACGGGCGACCAATGAAGTTGCATGTCCGTGAACTCATGAAAACAAAAGAGAAGTGGCATTTTGTATGTCAACTTGAGCACACCAAATTATTCATTTCTACTTTATTTTTTGTCAACTTCGTGAATGCCTAACTTGATAACCAAACCATTTAAACCTTTTAACATTGTTACTAACCAAAAAAAGTAGCTCAGTGTTTGTTTTTTTAGATAAGCAGACGTATAAATTGATGGCTCCAAAGTAAAGTCTAGGATCTGCAACAATAATAGAGGAGACCATGAAAATTAATATCGCTTAAAGACACTGCCACTAAAAGAAAACAATCAAGATCATGAATCCAAATCACAATTGAAGTTTTAAATAAACATTTAGAACAATAATGTATAAACTGATGTGGTCTTTCAGAGGATGTGATCAAGACCATGTAGACCCGTGACGATCTCTTTTTTTGGCCAAGTTAGAAGATACACGAATATGACTCAAATATCTCTTAATCCAGTTGATTCTCTATATTCCCTGCCTACGTAACCCTTCTCTCTCTCTCTCTCTCTCTCTGAACTGATTGAGCCAATCATAGTAGGCTAGATAGTACATCAAATAGATTATCTTGGTTTTCTAGTGACATTATGTGAAGCTCTTGGATATACACACTAAATCCATGATAGAACAATGTAGAAAAAGAGAGTGAAATATAAAGGAATTTTTACTTTCATTAACTCATCCATCAATAAATTGCTTCTTTGTGTATATACCATGAAGTCTACAGAAACAAGAAAATCCCTTATAAAAATTAAGCTAAAAAGAAACTGAAAAGCATTTATCTTTTGGAACCCGAAACCCTTTTAAGCAAAATAAGAAAACACAAAACACGATATAGTACGAAGAACCCTAACAACATATAAACATTAAACCACCTCTGTCTCTCATGAAGCCCATTCTTGTCTAACACGTCACCTCCAGTAACTAAGCAGCTATTCACAGAAGCTTCCTCAAACCAGACCAGGCACTTGTTGTGCAGACACGAATACTCATTTATCAGAAGTGCGTCCAACGCATACTTGTACATTGAGAAGAAGTACATAAAGAGCCAGTACTTTGGAAGACTCTCTTTAGAGATGAAGTAGCCAGAGAACAAGAAGAAAGCCGCAAGAAGAATGGTCACTAGAGATGTACCAGCGATGTAGTTAGGCGCGAGAGAGCTCAAGAAAAGGACAAAAGAGTTAGCCATTAGGACAATGATCCAGATTACGAGCACAAAGTAGGCGAAAGCTTGCCATGAAAAGCAGAGACCTACAAGGAAATAGAGTGAGACAGAGTAGATGATTGCGATGAGGAGCAAGTAGGGCAAGAAAACCAAGGTGTTTGCAAGAATGTGAGAGGAGAGTCTGTAGAGTCCGCTTGAGGTTTCTCGGAGAAGAATAGGTCGTTCATCAATGAATATTGGAAGGGTTTGGGTAGTGGAGGAGAGGAGGAATGTGAGGGTGAATGCAAAAAGGCCGAATCGCTTCTTGATTCCTTCTTTGCCGGTTCCAATATTTAGGTAGATAGTGCCTAAGACAAGACCGACTACAAGAGCTTCTAAGAAGTTGGTTAGAAGCAACTGCCTTGTTCGGTATATGATCTTCCAGAATCTACTAGAAAGAAGGCTTATTTCGTTAATTCTCGAGCTTTTATGTCGAACAATGCTCTGTTTGTTGTTCTGTTTTTTACTTTCAGGGCAGTGATCTGGGAGAGCAATGTTGGCGTTCTCGTAGGGATCATGGAGGTTCTGAAGTATCTCCATAGCGTACTCAAGAGAATTCAGCTGAGGAGGAACAGTGAATCCCTTGGAGAGCAAGAAAGTTTCGAGTAAGTCAAGTCTTCCATGGTATACAACGGTTCCTTTAGAAAGAAGTAACACGCGATCAATGAGAGATAGAATCTTGAAGCTAGGTTGATGTATGGACAAGATCACGATTCGTTGTCTCGACGTAGCAATAAATTTGAGAATCTGAACGACATCAAAAGCGGATTTACTGTCTAAACCCGAGGTGGGTTCGTCAAGCAGTAGAAATTCTGGATCGTGAAGAAGACTTAGACCGATTGAAATCCTCCTACGTTCACCACCGGACAAGCCTTGACCGAGTCTTGTATGTGCAAGATGTGTTAAGTTTAGTTCTTTGAGGAGAGAAACGACGACATTGGAGACTTTTGATGGGATTTTTGGGAGCAAGAGAGAGGCAGAGAAAGTGAAGGTCTCGGAGACGGTGAGGAGAGGGAAGAAGGTGTCGTGTTGAGGAACGTAGGAGGAGATTTTACGGTAAGAAGAAGGGTTAATAGGGACGGAGTTTAGATGCATTGAGCCAGAGGTCGGGAAGGTTCTTGCGGCGAGGATATCGAGAAGAGTTGATTTTCCGGCGCCGCTAGGGCCAACAATGGCGAGAATTTGGGAAGGATGAGAGGTGAGAGTGATGTTGCGGAGGATGTAAGAAGGCTGCTCGGCCGTGAGGAGGAGCGGTGAAAGAGGTTTGGCGTAGGAGATGGAAGAGGTGGATAAAGTATATGACTCCATTTTGAGAGAAATGTTTAAAGGTTGGAGAAGGGAAGTGAGTGTTGTAAAGAGAATTTATGGATGCTTGAGTTTGAAATGTTTTGTATTTTCCAATGAAATTGACATTTTTTTGCTTATTTGTTTTTTGACCTTTTGGTTAATTATTTTGTCTTTTCTGTCATTTTGAATTTTGCGTTACATAGAACTCATCGAATATAATTGTGGTCAAACGGAGAGAGTCAGACATATTGACATCGGAAAATATTAAAGAGATCATTAGAGAAAAAAAGTATCCAAATTAAGATGGAGTTATTATTAGTGAGAAGGTGGATCCAGAAACGAAAATCCATAGATATGCTCATAAATAAAGCTTGCTAACAGTTACGTATATACACACACATTTATGAAAAACATGTAAAGATGGATCAAATGAATATGCATGTGTGTCATAGTGTATCGTTGAGAACTGAGAAGAAAAAAGCCAAAGGGAAATGCAGGTAAAGGTCACGGGATCGCTGACTATCACTCTCTCATGATGCCTTTTGTATTATTTGCTAATCACCTTAAAGTCTATTTCTCAATCTCTGAACCTTCCTTTGTTTGGCATACACATTTCCAAACCATTTTTACAAATTATATATTAGTGACGTGAACAGTCCTGGATTTGAAGGAGTTTCTATAAAAACCAAATAACTAACTAGCCGTCATTTTACTTATACCTTAGTTAGGTGTGGTTGCATTTAGTTTAGGGTATATATCACCGTGAATGCAAATGAGTTTAAACCGAAAAAAAAAAAAAAAAAAAAGAATGCAAATGAGTAAATGGCACAATTTCTTCAACTATGAAAGAAAATATTCTAAACAGAATTTTCGTCACTAGTAACTTGTTAATTGTTATACATACATTTTTAAGTTTGTTATATGAATGAAGCATTCTCTTTACTTTCTTGGCCATCAATATATCCGCATCTCATGTTTTTTTTTTCCACACATAATTAAAAAAAAATAGCATGTTATTTCTACACATATATTTCAAAGCCCCTTAACGGGTACAAACAAGAACAGTGCGCAGGCCTAAACAGAAGAAAATGGACCTTAGGAAATCAGAAGTAAGCCCATTTGGATGTGGATCAAATCTAGTCAATATTGAAAAAAATGTGTTAGATTCAAGTTAAGCCGAGGCCTTTCTCCACCCTTTACATAATAAAAGCAACTTGCAATTTCACAAGATAAATATATCATGCAATCAGCCCCGGCTCAGATGGGTAGGGCAGAGGTGCGACGGCCTGGGGTTTTTTTTTTTATAAAAAAATTTACATATAAAAAAGGCCCAAATATTTTTTAAAAATATTATTAATATGAGAATTATATTTTATGAGGTCTAATTATTTATAAGAAAATGTATAAAAAGGCCCAAAATTTTTAAAATAACAATTTTTACTATAAAAACTCCGCAAAAATTTTAAAAATTAAATAAATTTTCTCTTTGTATATAATAATAGGCCAAAAAAATTTTTTTTGCCCTAAGGCTCTCAAATATATTGAGCCGGGGCTGCATGCAATATATATCTCAACTGCAAAAACAGTCCCAAAACTGAAAACATCTAATAAGTGAAACAAATATGTGTGGGTTAGTAAAGAAAATAGTGAAGGCTGACCAGTGGAGGAGGATGGACCAGGACAGGGTGCTGAGCGATGAGGACGTCTCGACTAAAAGCTGAACCACCCTCAGCTCTTAGGTCCCACAAAGGCTGGTCCTCGTTCTAAATGTACTCTCTCAAAGAAACACCTCTTTCTGCTTTATTACTATTCCCTCTTTGTTCCTCCACTTTTTTGTTGCAGCTTCCACATGAATCATGTCATAACTTTTACAACATATTCTTAAAAAAAAACTATAGAATATACATAGGAAATTTAATCACTCTATTTTTTTGTATCTTTACTCTTTGTTTCTTCTCACTAAATACCGTCCTATACTCTCCTATTAGACTATTAATTAGTGCATAACACTTCCTTAGACACTAGCTTTTATACTTGGCAAAATTATTTTAAACATGCATGTATCTGATCATGTCGCCATGGTTGACGATATATACAATTATTGTACTTTCATCTCTTAAAAGTTAAGAAGAAGAACACCCTTTTCTCACCCTTTTCTCATCTTTTCTCTCAATAAACCTTACCATATCTTCTCTTTTTCTTGCGAGCAAAACCTTGATTATTTTACTGTAATTAAAATGTTGTTTATGACTTAATGTTCAAACTTCAAATAACCTGTGTGAACTGTAACGCATGCAATAATGATATTTGTTGCATATCTATCAGTTTTCAATAGGTGATCATAGCTCTATAGATGTATTTTAATTAGATACCTACCTCAAGTTCACTAATCCATTTTTTTTATATCTTGATAAGGAAAAATGAGTTTTAGATTGTACGGAAATAAGCTCTAAAAATTGAACCAGTTTAACGCTATAATTAGTGAGTAAAATAGAGTAAATTAGTGCATAATAGTGGGTCTTTTGTAACTGGACCACTATTATGTACAAAAGACCCAAGGCTTATGCCAAACCCATTTGGGAGATTTTTAATAAAATTTATTTTAAAAAAAAAATAGAGTAAAAATGTGGAAATACAAAAACTTAAAAGAGAGGAAAGATAAAATGTAGAAGTGGTGTAAACATTTCCACCTTTCTAAAGTAGATGGAAATTTCAATCTATGTGTTGTGTTTTTTTTCCGAGCGTAATTCAGTAATTGAGTTGATTTTTTAATTTTTTTATACTCTGATTAGTAATTATTGGAAACGTTTTTAATTCTATCAACACCAAAAACAATTCTTTAGGATTTTGCAAAACAAATTAAAGTAAAGCGGGCAAGTATTCTGATATACCAAGCACAAACATGAAGCACCCATCAATCTTTTCAACAAATCGATTCTAATTGGTCTAATCCACTTTGGCAGAATAATTAACGGAAAAGAAGAAGAATAGGACTCCAACCAAAATATTTAATTATCGTACTTAATTTGTTTGTTCGAGAAACTTATAATCGGTTACTTCCTAGGGATGTATTTATTTTATACATTATCTTCACATGTAACGTGCCTATTTAACGAGAATATGATTCCCTATGATTCATGCACAAACACAAATCAAATCCGGAAATTTAAGTCGGATCAGGGAATAAATTATACAGCCCACACACTTAATAATTTAAATAGGTTCACGATGTAAAGAGAACTAAACTATAAATACCTGTAAGCTTTGGCTAGCTATAAATATATATATATATATATATATATATATATATATATATATATATATATATATATATAAAGTAATAAGTTAGTAATTTTTTTTAATAAGTTAGTAACTTGATACGATAAATAATATCATTCGACTTAGGTATTCCATCTCCACCACAAAATATGTTATATACGACAGTATGAGTAAACATTTACACAATGATCTTATAACTAAAACTTATCTCGACAGCTTAATGTAAGAGAGTAGTGATTGTGTTGGAATATTAACCGCACAAACATTGTTGGGGTTTGGATGCTTAAAAAAGCTCTGCCTAAGAAATTTCTTCTAGTCGAGTTAATGATATATTATAATATTATTGCGTAACGTAATACTAGTGGACACATCAAAGAATGATACTATGAAAGTATAAATGAAGAAATTAAAGAAAATAAGATGAAAAGAGGAAGAATGCGGAAATGGAGACGTAAGTGAAAGTGATTGGAATTTGGAAACTAAGATCATACACAGTGTATGTTTTGGTGGGGTGTGAGTATTATTAAAAAGGAAAATATATAATAGAATAGTGTAACACATAGGTGTGAGATAACACTTGGGTGTGAGTATTATTTTAATGTTTTATGTTTCATCTATCTCTTTCTCTCTCCTCTCTCTTTTTCCACTAACCAAATCTCTCTCTCTCTTAAAAAAATTATAATAAATGTATTGTTAACACACACCCACCCACATGCATCATTGTGGGTGCTCTAAGGGAATATCCGTTTTCTTTAGTCATGGTGGAAGCTGACGCTGAGAACCCCACCCCTCCAATTGCTCTACTCATTCTATTACTTTATTTCACGAGTAAGTTTCTTAAATACCCTTCACTGAATGATTCTTATATGTGTTTTATACATATTGTTAAGAATTCCACATATAGAGTAATATATATAATACTTCCTCCGTTTTTTAATATAAGTTATTTTAGGTAAAAACACGCCGATTAAGAAAATATACTTTTTAAAAGTTCAGTCAATCATAAAAAAACTGTATAATATAAATAATTATAAAATATTAAAGTAATATATAATTTACATAGAAACTTGAAAACGACTTATATTGTGAAATAAAAAACTTTATCCAAAATGCCTTATAATATGAAACGGAGGGAGTAGTATATAAATAGTATCGAAAATCTACTCAATGATAATTATATTATAAAATTCAAATTAGTTTTGAGTTGAAATTCATAAAACTTAGCATATATAATATTAAACCTCGAGTTTAACCTAATTATAAGCAAAGTAATCCAAAAGAAAAAATGTTTTGGTATGCTATTTATATTTTTAATAGTTATACATATAATGTCTTTATATCAAATAATAATAAGATATAGTTTTGGTAAGTTGTTCTTTGAACCTAGGTGGAATTTGTTTTTGCAAAAATCAAAACTCACTATTTGGGAAAGCATAAACTTCTTTTTGTTGGGTGGGGCTACCCTATGTGTGTTTTTTTTTGTTTTATTATACATTTATTTGCTACAAAAAAAAAAGTTGAAGTCTGGTCTATGGAAAAAAAAACTTTGTCTATTTATACATTTAACACTTAAAATAATATTTAATAAGCGGGATTGTTTTTTTTTTCTGCTAAGATAGTAAAAATCATATAAAATCAACAAGTTTGGATTTACATGTTGATTATCTAGATTTTTGGTTCCTTGACAAAATATAAAATAAAAAAACAAGGAAGCAAAATACTTTTATGATGGCAAGGTTTTTTCATCTGATCCAAAGACACATTAGATTTCTGAATTTTCCTGGATGCCTCCTTTTTTTTTTTCTTTTTTGAACAATACTGCCGTTCACAATGTTGATTATCCAAAACAATGAGGTTAGTTTAACAGTTAGGTACTTAGGTTAATGTGCAAATTGCCGTATCAAGATTATTAAATAATTCCTAACTTTAACCTCGATCCATTATTGCATTTTAAAGAGTATTAAAAGCCACCAATAAAATTTAAACTTTATTAAAGTACTGAAGAGGATACATTAAAAAAAAAAAACTATGGCAAAATAAGAAAACCACCAACTTAATAAGGAAAAAATAGAAAAAAGAAAACTAAGTTAAAGACATTATTTTACAAATGTCTTCATTGAGCCACCACGTAAAACTAATGTTTATTGAATTATTGTTGATTAAAAAATTCATGTAAATATAGATGGATAAACTAATCTCAATATCAAAATTAAAACCAATCTGTTTACACCATTATGGAAGATGCCCTAAAAAAAAATGATTTCGTCAATACTCACTCTACAAAGTACTACTTATAAATGAAAATTTAAAGTGCTCGAAGAAGAAGTCTTTCACCGCTTCACGCGGAAGTATACTCCATGTTTTGGGTGATGGAATGCATGATCTCGATTGACAACACTTCTGGCCTTCGCCACCGACTGTTCCGACTTGGTCTCTCGTGGATAATCAAGAGGAGTGGCCTACTTTCGCAGCAGAGTTGGCCTCTTTCTGGTCCCTTGTTGGCTTTTTTCCGTCTTTTACCGTTAGGTTTATTCCTCGTATTTTTAATGGTCGGGCTGATTGTTTTGCTAAGAAAGCTCGAGCCCGTAATTGTATATTTTCCTATATAAGCTCATCGGTTCCTGATTGGCTCTCCATAGAGGAGAGTCTCTTCCCGATAACTTAATAAAATGGTGTTTGATGAAAAAAAAAAAATGAAATTTTAAATTGGTAGAGTACTACATATAAAAATGATTCCTCATACAATCATGCACAAATCCATTGTATTAAGAAAAATCCACCACATACTCTCCTCTATAAATGCCCCCCTCACAACATAATTTTTTTTCCCACAATTTATCAGTTAAAATATAAAATTTCATTCTCTCCCAAATTAAACACACATGCAGACAATGGAAGGACGACAATATAATTACCAAGACAGCATAAACAGGAGCTCCTCCATGGTGGTGCCTCACTCGCCGTGGCACTCTCCGGTTCCTTATCTCTTCGGTGGTTTGGCCGCCATGTTGGCTCTCATCGCGGTCGCTCTTCTCATTCTCGCCTGTTCTTACTGGAGACTCTCCGGCTCCGCTCAGAGTGATCTCGAGGCCGGAGATGATGCTAAACCCGACAATGACACTAACAAGTCTAAGCCCATGGCGATGCCGGAGAAGTTTCTCGTCATCATGGCCGGTGATGTCAAACCTACATACTTGGCTACGCCGGCGACTCGGTCTGAGCAAAGCTGTACTTGCGGCGATCATAACGCAGAAGAAGGAAGAGGAGGTTAGTGATCAGGTGGTACGGCAGAGCACCGGAGGTTACGGTGAGCCGTCATTCATCTTTTGAAAACAGAGCAATCGTTACGGAGTACTCTGGATTGTTTAAACCGGAATCAATCCATCCGGTCTTTTTGTGTCGGGTCGGTTCATAATTACGCCAACCTTACGTGAGCGGATATAGTTAGAGTTTTATTTACTTCGTATGGTTTTTTTATTTTGGTTGTCTTAGTTTTCTTCTAATTTTTGCCGTTTATGGGTCATGAATTTTGAATAGATTATGGTTTTGGACTAGTGATAAAAGATGGAACTAAAACTTGACTGACAAATTAAGCGATAAAAGATATATAATGCAAGTAAAATTAAATACAATCTTGGTCTTCTAAAAATTGTGCGTCCTTAATTCAGTTTTCATTTGGAAGAGAGACAAAATGTTCTAAAAATTGTGCGTGGGAAAGAGATGTGTTGTGAAAACTTCAAGTGATGTGCCAACAATGACGCATGCCGAATATTAAGCTAATCCGTTGCGGCGAGCCGAAGTTGAGAATTATTCTCTTTGCACCTTTATTCTAAAATTTCTAGATATATCACTCAAATTGAAGAAAAAAGCATTAAGGTTTATTGTTGGACAACAAATTATTGTCTTTTGGATGATCAGTACAATGTGAATAGTGTGACACACATAATGGATGGAAACTACTGCTACTAACTGAATAATTGTTTTTTTTTAGTATAGGCAATTGGCATTGCCTCATTGGTTGTGTCATGTGTGTACGTCCTTTCGTTTTCTTGTCCAGTTCCTACTTATGTTTATGTGAACGTATCAAAACAAACGAGATAGCAAATGATGCCATTAGCGCCAAAACTTACGATCAAAACAAAGACTTATACGATTGGTGCCAAACCTTAAGATCAAAACAAAAACTTACAGAATCGATAGTGACAAGAAAAGGATGTTTTTTTTTTACAAAGAACGAGTAGACCTGTACAGATTCATAGTTCGACAGAATTATAAAACATTTTATATAACCATCAAGGAAAAAGTGGCAAGAACTTTCCCACGATTTGTATCGCATCAAGCATCGTACTAAATACGATATAAATAACCAAAAAGGAAGAAGAGAAGAAGTTTGTAATGGGTATCGCCTTCTTACAGTGCTGACTAAATTGCAGCGGTTGAAAATGTTTGGGGCTAGAGACAGAAATGATCCATCATGTGGAAGACAACATCTTTGCCATCAGAATGTAACCAATATGTTTTCACCTACACATTACAAAGAACATTATGTCAAATGCTCTTAACAAAATCGCCTTTGAGTTTCAAGTTCCTATTATTAAACTTGCCTGGATGGTACTATGAGCAACGTATCGTTGCTTGCTATTGTGAAAACTGACATCTACTCTTTCCCAAGATAGTTGACTGAGTCCATGTATCATTTCCTCTACATTTCACAAAAACCATAACAGGATGATGTTTGTGATGCTACGGATATAAAGAAGACCAATGGGCTAAAGATAGTGAGGCAAGGATCTACCACACTTCCATAAAATCTGATAGAGATATCATTCTATCTAGCAAATTTTGAAAAAAATAATCAAGTGAGAAATGGAGCAAAACCTTCAAGATCAGTATTTTGCTCTGTTACTACTGTAGAAGTTGACTGGCAACTACCATTGTCTACATTTCCACGTTCTACGTATACAATGTGTGGATAGTTTGGATCAGTTGCTAGAAGATTTGGCTGAAAGATGAGCAGGGATAAAGTTTACTGATAAATCCCACAACGTCATTAAAGATGTGCACAAAATATAACAAAGTAAACACATGCCTTTGGGAGTTCATTTGGACGGCGAATTGAAGATGTCCTCCATCCAACCATAGCTTTCTCATTAGTTAAGGCACACTCTCGTAAATGATAGAAATGATCAAAAACCATTGACAGTTACTTAATAAAAACATGTTTTTCTCAGGGAAGGATACAATCAAAATTCACGTTTGCATATGCCACACGACGCTTGAAAGCATGTAAAGCTGATCTGTTGAGGTCATAAGAAGAGATGATGAGCATATCAATCTGCAAGTCATCAATGAAAACACCCACAGACCAAAGAATTTACATGAATTTTAAGTCATCAGAATCTGTAGCCATCCGGATAAGAAGTGGAGCATTTCCATCATCGTTGTCCACCAGAAACAAATGTTTTCCGGTCCTCCCAGCAGCCAAGTGTGCAGTTTGGGATGCTGTTCTTTCAAGAAATGGAAGGCCACAAAGAATCGGGAACTGACCGAATGAAGACAAGAGTAAGCATGTCACAGAGAAACAGATTATCTATATATATGCAAAACTTACAGAAACTTTTGACCTAGACATGCAATCTAAAACATCAATTCACCTGTCTATGTCCTCTTGAACCAAGATGAGGCGTTGCGAAAGTTATAAAGTTCATAGGTTCTAACCCAGCAATTTCGCCTCCTCTTGTGCTCCTCTCCTTCGAAGGAGAGTCCAAAGAGTCGACTTCAACACGCAGTTCATAGAGCTTCCCTACGGCATACCTTGCAACAAGACCACCTAATGAATGAGCCACAAAAGAAATCTTCTTCAGCCCACTCCTATGCTTAACAACAGCCAAAACCTTCACAAAATTTCAACCATAGAAATCAAAGACCAATAACAAAAATCACCATCCAAATTCAAGTTCCAGGTAAAGAGAAACAACAATGCTGCCAAATGCTACCTCATTAGCTAGTCTTTCACCCATTTTATCAACACCATCAAATGTCAACGTTGCACTATTGCTCTCGCTACCTGCTTCATCTATTTCATCAAAATCAAAAGTACAGAGTATTCAAAACCACAATCTCTAAAAGGTTAAAGAAACACGCACGGTGCACAAGTACTTTGTCCGGGAACTTCTTCACGAACTGCTCCGCCGCATATTTCCAATCCGCCGCACTGAATCATTATCCAAATCGAAACAGCAAAGTCGTTAACCCATAATTTAGTAATCTGAATTAGTTTTTGAAGCTCTTTGATTTAGTCTACCTGCCAACGATACCGTTAACCATGACAACCAAATGATCCGGCTTCTCAGCAGACTCCATAACATCCGCATCGAAGAAATCCTCTCCGCCGTTATCGATCTCCGTCTTCAGCTCCCTTTTGCTTCGATTCGCCGCAAAGCAACCGATTCCAAGGCGGTTCATCCACTCCATTTGATCGAGATTCTTAGGTTGAGCGGGAAATCGAAGGTCTAATCCGAAACGGAACTGGTGTTGACTAGGCCGAAGAAATCGCGGTGAAGACGGAATCAAATCGGGGATTAAGATTTGGAATCTGGAGAAGGACGCGATCATGTGGAAGTAAAAGGACGCAATAAGAAGGAAGTTCAGTATCCTTCCTGCCTATCGAAGTGATGATGACAAGTCGCTTAACTTTCCCGGCGAAGAAGCCTTACCATTTGCGGTTTTTGCGGAGGCGCTAAGCAACAGTATCTGTAACATAGAAACACTTGGTCAAACTTTTATTTTTAAAAAAAAATATACTAGTATTGGATTGATGATAGTACTAAATTAAACTCTATAAGAGTAATGGTGATGTTATTAACAGGAAAAAAAATTAACCTCTTAGATAATTAATGGTGATGTTATTAACAGAAAAAAAAAAAGTTTCATTGTGGAAGACTTACAAAAATCTACACTAAAATGTAGAGATTTATCAACTATTAGTATAGGACATGATGGATTATAAATTAATTTTCTAAGACCATCTTTATCAATGGATTCTTAAAAAAATCTTAAGATGATCTTAGTATTTTTTTAGTATTATTACTAATAACCAAAGTTAAGATTTACCTCTTTTTGGCTCTTAGGTAAGCAACTCCTTCAACTCATCTTAACTTTGGTTCTTAGTAATAATACTAAAAAATTACTAAGATCATCTTAAGATTTTCTTAAGAACCCATTGATAAAGATGGTCTAAGACGTTAAAAAGAATCCCCTTTATTAATGGTGTTGGTGATGTTACTAACAATAGAATATAAATTAACTCTAAATCTGAAAGACTTATAAATAAATTACATAAAACCAGTTATTTCCAGATTTAATGTAATGAAATACATTATAGAAAATTATGTTAATAGCTCATTAAAATGTAGAGATTTATTTCATTGCAAGTACATCTAATCTCAATATAAAATTTAAGGATTTATTTCATTAAAGTTACTGTGGAAAGTTTACTCTTTATGAATAATTGTCTGGATTTGTTTTCTCTCTTAAGAAGTAAAGCACATTTAAATCAATTATTTTTTGTTCCAAAAAAAAAAATCAATTATTTCATATTACTCACATGAATATACATATTGCACATGTATGACAAAAAAGAATCTCTTTCACATTAAAAGTAAGTACCAAAATACTACCAATAGAATCTCTTTCACATTCTTTTGATTTCGCTTTGTCTTGTGCGATTGCTAAATTCAATCGGATTTTTTCGACCTTCTTCTTTCTTTCATCCCTAGCTATTTGATTTCTCTTCCATATTTTTTTCTTTCTATCATTACATTTGCTTGGATTAAATTGATAGAAATAATGTTGTAAGTGCCAATATGGGTTGGCATGTTGACTTATTTGAGTGTTCTGTAACGACCCATCATTAACCCATATCAGCCTATCTAATACGTCCAACATTAGGGTTCACGGGACAACACATAACACAATCATATGATCTACTTTATCATATCTCTCCAATAATACATTCATATTTATCCTCAATCTCATTTTTTTTTCTTCTAAAATTTGCAATCCGCCAGACAAAGCAAATCTTTCATGACATTGGTAATCCACATTACGCGGTTAAAAAATAGACACAGCCGCTAAAAAAAAACCTCGAATTTGCATCCATACATTTTCAAACACAGTTTATCGCTTCCTTCTTTTTCTCTGTATATTTAAATAACACACTTGAACCTCCGAAACCATTAGCACCTACAAAACAATATAATCTCAGAAAAGAGAGAGGATGAGCTCATCCTATTTACGAGTAATATTACTCTTAGGTGCCCTTAATGTCGTTGTTTCCTTATCAATAACCAAGTCATTAATAACCAAATCTGCAACCCTCGGTCAGGTGTTCCGAATCTGTAAGAATTTGTGTCCGGGATGTGACCACGACTCCTTGCAGTTCTTGTTCCGACACAACCTGGTCCGTGCCGCAAGATTCGAACCTCCTTTGATATGGGACCGCAGACTCCAGAACTACGCCCAAGGGTGGGCTAATCAAAGAAGGGGAGATTGTGCTTTGAGACACTCTTTCTCGAACGGAGAGTTTAATCTCGGCGAGAACATCTACTGGGGATACGGCGCCAACTGGTCTCCGGCCGATGCGGTGGTTGCATGGGCCAGCGAGAAGAGGTTTTATCATTACGGCTCCAACACGTGCGACCCTGGTCAGATGTGTGGCCATTACACACAGATTGTGTGGAAGAACACGAGGAGGGTCGGGTGTGCACGTGTTGTGTGCAACAATGGTGGAATCTTCATGACTTGCAACTATGATCCTCCCGGCAACTACATCGGCCAGAAACCCTATTAATTGATCATCATTTATCTATTAATTAAAAATTCTCCAAATTAGTCATTTTATTTTTTAGAAATTATGATGACTTTTTAAAGGAGATTAGGTGGGTGTATTTGTGTATTTTACTAGAAAATAGATGTATGGGTGGGGTTTATGATACTGATTATGTATCTTGATTACTTTAATTGATGGTTGTAATTGCATTAACGGTTATTTATATATCCGTAAGAATGCCCAGTATACAAGAATATATAAAATATGAAAAATGATATGATTTTTGTAAGAAATTCCAAGTACAAACGGAAAATTATCTTGTTCTATGTATTAATATATTCATATTCATATTTAAGTACGTAGTACGTAGAATTAGTTATATGATCTAAGAAATTTAAGGGAACTAAGGAAGGTCTTTGTATACCGATTAAAATTTTATTTTGGGGACATGACCATCACAAAATGAAAAGTAGATAACAACAAAATGTTCATAACACCATCAACTTAAAATCCATAGGATGATAAGTTTAAAAAGAAACAAAAGTCAAGAAGAATAAAAACATAGATTAAGAAATCACCAAACGTAACGTTAATTTAAACAACGTGTTAGACCAAGTTAGTAAGGCTTCTCCCCAACGTAGTTACCCGGAGGGTCGTAGTTGCAAGTGATGAAAACACCTGCGCCGTTCTCGCAGACAACTCGAGCGCAACCTAGGCGCCTGGTTTCACGCCACACGATCTGAGTGTAGTGACCACACATACCATCTCCTTCACACGTGTTGGTCATGTGGTTGTAGGACTTAGCCTCCACGGTCCATGACTCCACTGCGAAAGTCGATGTAAAGTCTGAGCCACTTCCCCAGAACAAGTTCTCACCGTATGGGCCGGTCGAATGGGTTAAGGAGCAGTCGTATCGCCTCTGGTTAGCCCACCATGTTGCATAGCTTGCGATCTTTACGTCCCACACCAATGGAGGCAGACCTGTTGGTCATGAAAATTTTCAAATCAATACAATCACTTCTAATAATTTAAGTTGATCCCGCAATTATGTTAACAAATAATGTTATCCAATTGTTCGTTTTGTAGGGTAGTCCAAAACAAAATATATATGTTTTTTCTTATCTAAGATAACATCAAAATACGGATAGGTTTCTTACTTTCTTACGAATATGACTATATATGGGTATGGCAACAAAAATAAAAATTACAAAGATCCCAAGTGACCGTTTTATGTTGTTAATGCTCATGCATAGTCTTAACTGTGATCACATATGGTCTTAATTCTTTAGTTAATATATAAAAGTACCTAGATTGCCTCGGACAGTGTTATGTGGATCAAGAAATTGTTGTTCGAACGAGCCCGTGGGTGGTTGGTATGTGGGAGGAGGATGATAGAGGATAGGTTTGGGGCTGGGAGTTGGGAGCGGCTTGGGCTTTGCGACGTAGGGAGGAGGGCTCGGGTTTGTAGGTAGCCGTGGACGATAATAGTCTGCATGAACGGCTTGGATGGCGACCAAGAAAAGGGCGATTGCGAAAACTGTGGCTTGGGTTGATGTTGTGGTCGCCATCTTTGTTTTCTTGCTCCAAAGATTTCGTTTTGGATGGTGGTAGAAAAATGATTTGATGGGGGTGATTATTTATATGCTTAAGTTAGTGCATAATTAATTATGACAATGCAATTTGAGAGTCAACTAGAAGTGGCTTACATGTTCGATTATGGTTACCACTTACCACTTTGTGTCGCTTTAGTAAAAGAGGAGTTGTAGATATTTTAACCATGCAAGTAGGTATTTTATATACATTTTTTTTCCTTAAGACTAAAGATAAATAACATAGTTCCTACCAAAAAAAAAAAAAGATAAATAACATAGATTGACTGATTGAAGTATTATATAATTTTTTAACGGAAATATTATTAGATTTTTGTTTCAGCTATTAGAATTAAAAATATAAAAAGTGAGGTTTATGATATATCAGTCGGTCTTTTTTTCCTATTATTATTATGTTTGTCCTTAGACTAAAGATAAATAAAATAGATTGAAGTATTAGAAATTTCAAAAAAGAAAAAAAATATATGGAGAAATTTTAAAAATACGATTTTTCAAAAACACCCCTTCCTAAAACCTTATATATTAAATGGTTTCTTACTTAAGTATTAAGTGTCTAGAGCAAATTAAATTTAGTTGATTAAAAAAAACTTAAATTTATAAGTCATATTAAGGTTTGATTTTTGTGTTTTTATATTTTCTGATTTTTTTTTTTACAACTGATCAATTATAGTTTATTATTTTTATCAATTACTGTTTGTATACATCAATCTTATGACATAAAAACTCTAAAAATCGTAAAATCATGAAAACCGAACCGAAATCTGGCTTAAATAATTTAATTTTTTTAATTAATTAAATCTACATATTGTAAATATAGTTATCTGAAATCAAGATAAAAAGAAAAAGAAAAAGAAAAAAGGGAGACTCACAAAAATGTCCCTTTTTAATACCCCTTTTCAAAAATGCCCCCTTTGGCTGTCTATTTTTAAAAATACCCCTTTTTATGTACAAAATGACTAAATTACCCTTCTTTTAATAAAAGATATCACAAATATATAAGGAAATATAACAAAATTAGGTCCACAAAATACAAAATATTTTTTGGCGGGAAAAGTGATCCCGCAATTTTTCCCGCCAAAACACTTGTAAAAACTTGTAAAACCTTTAAAATACCTTGTAAAATTTTCCCGTAAAACTTTTTTCCGCCAAAAAATTTTCCCGCCAAAAATTTTTTTTTGCGGGAAAAGTAATTCCGCAATTTTTTTGGCGTTAAATTTTTGTCGGGAAAATTTTTCCCGCCAAAAATTTACAAGGTATTTTAAAGGTTTTTTACAAGGTATTTATAAGGTTTTACAATGTATTTTAAAAGGTTTTACAACGTATTTACAAGGTATTTATAAGATATTATAAGATTTTACAAGCTATTTTATAAGGTTTTTACAAGTTATAAGGTTTTACAAGTTTTTTATAAGGTTTTACAAGTTATAAATACCTTATAAAACCTTATAAGTACCTTGTAAAACCTTTTAAAATACATTGTAAAACCTTACAAAACACTTGTAAATACTCTGTAAAACCTTTAAAATACCTTGTAAATTTTTCCCGCCAAAAATTTTCCCGCCAAAAAAATTTCGCAAAAAAAATTGCGGAATCATTTTTCCCGCAAAAAAAATTTTTTGGCGGGAAAATTTTTTGGCGGGAAAAATTTTTACGGGACAATTTTACAAGGTTTTTTAAAGGTTTTTACAAGTGTTTTGGCGGGAAAATTGCGGGATCACTTTTCCCGCCAAAAAATATTTTGTATTTTGTGGACCTAATTTTGTTTCAAATAAGGGTAAAATGGTCATTAAAAATTAAAAGAGGACAAACTTAAAAATGGACTCTCAAAGAGGGCATTTTTAAAAAGGGGCATTTTTAACAATTTCTCAAGAAAAAAAAGGTATATTCAATAGGAAAAAAATTATAACAAAGAAAAAGAAAAAAGGGATATACTTTATTAAAATAAAAGGCAGCACTACGTTGAACGTACGGCTGTGATTTTATATCACATTCCGAAAAGTCACATTGGAGGATGTCGTCGTGTCGACACGTGACTAGCATGGTAGCTCTCACCACATAATAAAAAACACTCTGACTCAGTCTGAGGTTGACCCATTACCAAACAAAACAGAGAATCCAAGAGCAAAGGCGACTCTGTTGGGAAACTATAGACTACTCAAACCACTTCCGTCGCCGGCCAATTTACTCAGGCGGCGGTACTCTCACTGGACATGTAATTTTCTCTTTCGCGTACTTGCTGATTTATTTTTCTGTTTGTCACCGAGAGAGTCTACGCAAATTCTTTTGCGATTCTGTGAGCGATTTGGTAACGGAATTTAGGGTTTTTCTGTAGTCTGATTTGTGTACTTGTGTTGTTCGCAGATCTCAGAAATTAGGGTTTTTTTTTAAATTGTCTAGAGGTAACAATCACATGAAGAGGAACTTAGAGGGCAACGGTGACGACAAGCCTGAGCGAAAGCGTCCTGCTCTTGCTAGGTTATTTTGTCTTCATCTTCTCTGATTGTTTTTGAAAATTTCTTAGTATTAAAGACTTTTTTCTGGTCCTTTTGCGCAGTGTGATTGTTGAGGCTCTGAAAGTTGACAGTTTGCAGAAGCTTTGCTCGTCGTTGGAACCTATCCTCCGTCGAGTTGTAAGATTTGCTTACTCTCGTCTCTTTGAAAAGTTAGTTATGTTTAGGTATGAATCAGTTTTGTTTATTAGTACGGTATTGGTGCTGAGCAGGTTAGTGAGGAAGTGGAACGTGCTTTGGCAAAATTAGCCCCTGCTAGGCTTAATACAAGGTAACACCTTTTATTCAATGGCTTACATTAGTGGTCATGAAATTATATCCTGAGATTTCCGACTATATTTCAGTTCTGGGTCTTCTCCAAAACGAATTCGAGGTCTAGATGGCCGGAACTTGCAGCTGCATTTCAAGTCTAGGTTATCTCTCCCTTTATTCACTGGAGGAAGAGTGGAAGGAGATCAAGGTGCTGCTATCCATGTTGTATTGATTGATGCAAACACTCGCCGTCCTGTAACAGTTGGACCAGAAGCTTCCCTGAAGCTTGAGGTTGTTGTGCTCGGGGGTGACTTTAACAACGAAGATGATGAAGATTGGACCCAGGAAGAATTTGAAAGTCATGTTGTAAAAGAGCGTGAAGGAAAGAGACCTTTGCTTACTGGAGATTTGTGTGTTGTTCTCAAGGAAGGGGTAGGCACTTTGGGTGAGATTGTTTTCACGGATAATTCGAGCTGGATTCGAAGTCGCAAGTTCAGGCTTGGTTTAAGGGTACCCTCTGGGTACTGTGATGGCATACGCATACGTGAAGCAAAGACAGAAGCTTTCTCTGTTAAAGATCACAGGGGCGAATGTATGTGTTTTCTTAACTTGATCTCTTTTTGCCTTGTCCTTGCCCCTTCTTTTCTTCTAAATCAACGCGTTATTGGATTGTTATGTGCAGTGTACAAGAAGCATTATCCACCTGCTTTGAATGATGAGGTTTGGAGGTTAGAGAAGATTGGTAAAGATGGGGCCTTCCATAAGAGGCTAACCGCTGCAGGAATAGTCACTGTGGAAGGCTTTCTGAGAAAATTGGTCAGGGATTCTGCAAAACTACGAGCTGTGAGTGCCTATAACGTCAAGCTCATTGTTGTTGGATGAGAACATTTATTCAGTGCTCATGAATAATTATGATTTTTTTATGTTCGTCTAGATTCTTG